CATTCTGATACTTGTACAGTATTTTCATGTTTCATACTAGACAGATGGAACAGAGATGGTGTCATATCTAGATGATGCACATCTATCACAATGAAACCTCTAAGAGCACTTGCAAAAGTAATAATAACAGCATTTTTGTAGTTTAGAAACAATTCTTCTCCTAAAGACTAAAATAGAATAAAAGCTGCAAGGAGACAGAACACTTAAAAGAGCTGTAAATCTCTATCAGAATGTAACATTTAATAGGGTTAAAGTAGTATAGACATGGCATTTATAACTGGAGTGTTTTATATCTGAAACAAATTAACTGGCAAACTAGTATTATAAATTTACTCAGTGATACATAATATTCTGAAAGATGACATGACTTTAGAAAATGTTTGCTGTAGTTATCATGAAAAATTATACTCCTTTTATTTACAGTGGGACGGATTCATCTATGCAAATAATTTTATCGTAATTTCTTTTTGTGGGCATTTTATAACATTTCAGAAATCTTTCAGTTTTCATGGTAGTAATAGTGAGCAGAGAAAATTACTCTGATTTGTAACACTGTCTATAAGGAACGAGTGATAACAGTAAGAACATAATAACACAGCAAATAATAATCACAGTATCATAGAATTGTTTGGCTTGGAAGGGACCCTCAAGATCATCTCGTTCCTTCCGCCCTGCCATATGCAAGGACACCTTCTACTAGCTCAGGTTGCTCGAAGCCCCATCCAACCTGGCCTTGAACACTTCCAGGGATGGGGCATCCACAACTTCTCTGGGCAACCTGTGCCTGTGCCTCACCACACTCATCATAAAAAATTTCTTCCTAATATTTAATCTAAACCTGCCTTCTTTCAGTTTAAAGCCATTCCCTCTTGCCCTGTCACTCCATGGCCTTGTGCAAAGTCTCTCTGCAGCTCTCCTGTAGCCCCTTTTAGGCACTGAACCCCCCCAACTCTCTCAGCCCGTCTCCATGCCAGAGGTGCTCCAGCCCTGAGACCGACTTCGTGATCTAATAAATAAGTATTTTATCATAAAGCATAATAACAAAGTGGAAAAACAACAACAAAAAAAAGAGCTGCACTGTTTTCTCAGCTTAAATTCCCCTGGGGATCCCTGCAGACCCCCGGCAGTACCGGGCAGCTCCCACGGGGCGGCAGTTCAGGACTTCGGTAACATCCGCAGCCACTCCAGGGAGTGGCTCTCCCGAACAGCTTTTGCATTCCCTCTGCGCATTTCATTTCCTTATTTTTGTGGGAGTTAACAAGGATAAATTTTTTTTTCTTATGTAGCGAATTTTTTTTTCTACTTAATCTCTTAAACTCTAAAATTGATTCGTGTTAATATTAATAATTTAAGGGAAATAAGCCGTTTCACGGTCTAATCACACCAGCACCGAGAAGTGACAGTTGCCTCTGAATAAAGGATGGCATGATTGGCAGGATTACCTTCAGGCAAGGGGAGATCAGGAGAAGTGGAATAGTGTGAAACTTCATCCCTCTCCCATGCTGTTCGGATTATTTATCAAAGTATGTGAAGATCAAAAAAAAAATCAAGGGAAATGCACGCATGTAAATTATTAACAGCCTGCCTCAGAGGATGAGCAGATTTTGTTCATACTTCATTAACTATAACAAATTTTATTACATATTCAAAGAAATAAACCTAGGAGTTACAATTCTAACATGGTAGTAGATAATGTGTACAATAATCTCATCAGAAACTATTATCTAGAAAATAACATTGTAAATATAAAAAAAAAAAAATAAGTGTCAAGAAAGAATCTGACGTTCAGGGAATTACTTGTTTATTTTTTATTTATCATATTGACTCCTGTAGGTTGAAATGGAATACTTGCTCTAGCCCAAACAACAGTATTCTGGTGTGAGCCATTTGTAATTGAGATCTCTCATACAGGCCACCAACAAGAATAAAGGCCAGTTCAGGAAGCGGTAGCACAAAAGCAAATCTTTATTTGCTGTTGCTCAGCAACCATGTGTGAAAGGCCCATTTTTCATTTTTGCCTTAACTTGACTTGACAGGAAAATGATAATAAATATGAGATTATTATCACAGGGTATAGATTATTTTGAACAGATGAACAGATATGTCAAAGAAAGGCATGTAATTTAGTACTATTGAAAGGGAGAACATTAGAGAAACTGAAAATAGAGTTGTAGGTTCATTACCAGCTTGCAGTTCATGTATAATTCTTGAAAAAACCTGCAAAATGTTATTCTGCCTCTCTGGTTTCTCGGTGTGGTCCTTTAAAATGAATCATTTGGTGTTATTCAGCCTGTTGTTATCTGTGTCAACTTCTAGTTTCAATACTACAAAAAAAATCATTCTGTGGTTGCCATGCAACAGAAATTAAAAGCTAAAATATGTTTTAGTTCGTTTGCTAAATGGATATGTGCCTGACTAAATAAACAGTAACCAGGTGACTAATGTAGCTCTAATTAAAAGACTAATCAAGGTATTAATGAAATATTCAGTCTACATGAGTCATGATAAATAAATCCATCAGTTTGAATGTAAAATGGCAAAGATTTTTAATATATGCAGAAATTTTTTAATATAGGCAGACATTAGCACGATGTATAATTGTCTTTTTTTTATACTTTTTAATTTGCTTTTACTATTCTACAGGTGTGCTGATTGCTTATGCAACTTATTTCAAGGAAACTGTTTCACAGGCTCCTTGCACTTAGCTGAACACCTAACTTCAGAAATAAAGTCAGGTCCATAGGATCTGAAACATCCTTCTTTACTGCAGCAAAGTGCTACCTTCTTTTGGAAGTCTGCTCCTGGAAGTCAGTGCCTGCCAGCTGTCACAGTGTGGGGATTAGGGCTGGAGGACAGGTGCTATTTCAGGGGATTGTCCAGGGATCAGTCTCTTGCTGGATTCCCTTTTTCTCACTACAGAGGAGACAGGCCTTTGCCTGTATGGAAATGTGGACTGAGGAGGTGTGTGTGTGTGCTTGGCTTTAGGTGGAGACATGGAGTGGCACTGAGCTGCTGCTGCACAGTGATGTTGCCCAAGAAGATGAGGTTTTGGCTGCCAAGTCCTTCTCCCACATTGTCCCTGCCTTGAGCATGTGACCATCTCAATCACAAATTGGAAGGAATGGAACCCATTCTCCTGCTGTGCCAACAGTACTTTCTTTGTGGCACATTGTTTCAAAACCCAGTTATTTCAGAAGTTGCACACGGACTCAGTTGATGATTCAGGAATTGAAACAGTTTTTAGTTTTGTTTTCAGTAACTTTAGTCCTGTTATGTACATTTTTAAAGCAATACAGAATAGCATTATTTATATAGGATAAGCCCATAATAAACTATTTTTCTTCCTGTAGTCTTCAAACTGTATAAACCCCAAGAAAATAGTTTACTCGAGAATTTTAAAACATAAATCAGGAAGAGTCTGTAGGTCAAATATAGACGGCAGAAAATGAGACAAGTCTTAATTTTGAATATAAACCAATATTGTGAAAGGTAAGATGATTAAAGAAGACTCCACGTTAAAAATTAAAATATTAGCAGAAGACATAAATACTACTTTGAAAAGGAGTGAATTTTTACATATGCTATTAAATAAAATCTGAAATACACCATATTTTTATAAACTAAAATCCTGAAAAGTCCAACCAGCTGTGAGAATTTGTATGGAAATTATAGTCGGTTTTCTGTTTGTCTGCAGAGTGAGGCAGCACATGCTGTACTGCTTCCACAGACTGAAAGTAAATGACTCAGTCACGCACCTCTCTCTTCTGAACAGCCAACAACACTGAGAAATATAATGCTACTGCAAATGAGAAATGGAAAAATACAAATTAAGCCCTTAACAAGACACATTGGCTGATTTTGGTTTGCAGAAAAGCTCAAACAAATGGACTGGGGAGTATTAGAGAATTCGAGGATCTGAGTCCAACTATTTCCAAACACTGCAAATTAAGTTTGAGAAGAAACAGAAAGAAGCATTTGCTGATACATTAAAAAAAAAAAAAAAATCCTGTGTTGTCAAAGTGTCAATATAATCTGGACTACATAGTCTCTGATAAATTCTGGTGAGTAGCCTGTTTAACTCTTGATCGCTTTGGCCGAAGAGTGCGAAATACACGTGCTGTTCACCAGGGCTGTGAGTAAAGGCTTTGCTGCCAGCACTAGCAACAAAAACATTAGTAAAAAAAGCCATCAGTGTAATGGTGATGTTTTCATAAGATCAGTACGTCCACATTACCAGAAATTCCACATTACCAGAAATCCATAGAAGCCATACCGTTTCTTAAGCCTGAACTTGTATTTAACTGAGCGTGTCTTACCCCAGTTTGAGGGCAGAGACCTTTGAGGTCTCTACAGAAAGGGCACAGTGAGCTGTGAGGAGCGGCTGAGGGAGCTGGGGGTGTTTATCCTGGAGGGGTCTCAGGGGAGACCTTGTCCCTCTCTGCATCTCCCTGACAGGAGGTTGTAGCCAGGTGGGGGTCAGGCTCTCCTCCCAGGCAACCAGCGACAGGATGAGAGGACACACTCTTAAGCTGTGCGAAGGGAGGTTTAGGTTGGACATTAGGAGGAATTTCTTCACAGAAAGGGTGATTAGACATTGGAATGGGCTGCCCAGTCGCCGTCCCTGGCGGTGTTTAAGGAAAGACTGGACGTGGCACTTAGTGCTATGACCTGGTTGACGTGGTGGTGTTCGGCCACAGGTTGGACTCAAAGATCTCAGAGGTCTTTTCCCACCCAATTGACCGGGATTCCGTGATTTCCGAACACCGCCCCGTGCCGGGGGCCGGTCCCGCAGCCTCCGCCCTCACCGGGGCCGCGCGCGGGAACGAAGCGGGCGGGCGGGGGAGGGACGGGAGGAGGTGGCGGCCGAACTCTCGCGAGACGAGGCGGGAGCTCTGCCCGCGCTCAGCGCCCGGCGCGGGAGGATTCGAAAAGCGGCGGGTGAGGGAGGGAGCGGGGGGAGTGGGGGTGTCCCGGCGTGTCCCGGCGTGTCCACGGGTGTCCCCAAGTGTCCCGGGGTGTCCAAGGGTGTCCCGTCCCAGCGGTCTCGGGGCTGGTGTCTCCTCTGGCGGTGCTGCCGAGCGGCGCGGGCTCCTGTCTCCTGCGCGCGGTTCCTCGCTGGAAGCCCGTCCCGCGGGTCCATGAGGGTGTCGCCGCTCTGAGGGAGCCCGAGGTAAGCGGCCCGTCCGGCTTCCCGCTTGTTTCTCTGGCGGCAGCCCCCGGGTGACTCGGGACGGGGCCCAGAAGTGGCCTCCGCCCCGTTCTGTCATGTGGCCCAACGCGCAGGGATGGGGAAAGCACGTCAGGAATCACCTGGGATGGAGGGAATGCTTAGGTGCGCAAATGAGGCTCTTGGTATCAAAAGGTGGCCTAGCCCATCTCCCAAAGTTTTCACCTGACAGGAGGGACAGTGACAGACTATTTTACTACCCCTCGGTACTTTTCGTACCAGTAAATGCTGTTGTTGGGAACGATGGCCAGCTTAAATAGGGGCTATGTGCTGAATAATACACTGTGCTTTTTTAAAAATCAAAGTATCCATTAAAAGCTCTTCTTCAAGACTTATTTAGTAAAAAAAACAATTAAAAAGAAAGCTTGCAAACCCTGCAGCCTAGTGATGTTGTGAATCTAGATGCCAATTCAGTATTTTGGAAGGGAAAACTTCTATAACTATGTATTATATATATATATATAACTACTATAATACCTACATAATTGATGTATATATAACTAATATATAACTGTAACTGAGACCAAAATGGTCTTGTTTTGAGACACAGTACCTTGTCTAATGTTTTGTTTATAGAGCAAGGAAAAACAATTCCACGATGAAACGTGAAGAATTTTTGGAAGTTGTGTCTAAAGAGTCAATTGAAGACTTCCTGCATTACACTCAGAATCCTGTGAGTAACCCAGTGTGCACTTGTATCTGCAGTGATACACTTATGAAATCATAAGGCTGTTATTGATGCAGAAATTGTGTGACATAGGGACAGAAAGTGCTTATCTGGTACTTGCAGATGTGCTGGAATGATTGCTGTAGAAAATAAGGTCACATGGCACTTAAGGGAACATAGGCTGAAAAATTTGTAGAAGCTGAAATGTTGCTATTTATAAACCAACTAATTTTTCAGACATTTGGTTGTTCCATGTACAGTTTAGTTTTTTAAAAAAGAAATTATTAGTAGTGTGGTAAAACTAAAAAAAACCCAACTGATTTGATGTTGATGGAGTGTTGTATTTTTAAATTTCAACCTATGAAAGAGTTTATTGGTATGTCATGAATATGAGTTAATGTACAAACATAGCAGAGGCATGTTTCACTAGTATGTGTATATTCATGTAATAGTTTTGTCTGTCCATTTTTCTTTGGTCCGTGTTTAGTTGTACTTTAATAGTTCTTTTCATCACTGAATGCTTCCAAGAAGGGATAAATTGCTCTCTCTAAATGCAGTGTGGAGAGAAGTGGGAGGAACAACAAAAGAAGTCCCATGAAATCTACTATTAGAAGTTCATTGTCACATTGTATATATGATATTGGCATAATAATGACAGATAATTGCATTGTGGTGTTTTCCACTAAGCTTCAATCTGCCTGGTATTGAGATATACCAGATTTCTTCTAAACATCTTTTGCTTGCCTTTATAAATGGTATTGTGAAGTTAGTTTCTTAAGCTTTCTAATCAGTATTTCCCTGATATGATCTGTGCCAGTGTACTAAGTGGATCAGTTGACCTCTATGTCCACAGAGGCATGAACTAATGTACTAATGCAGCAAATGTATTAAACCCACAACCACATTCTGTATAATAAACTTGGAAAATTCATCTCTGAAACATCATTGAATCTCTCCAAGAAATTTGTTATTTCTTCCAATTGCATGAATGCATGTAATTAGAGATGACAACTTTATTACCAGAGTGCCTTTGCTTAAAGTCTCCTTCCCATTTTCCCCCAAATCTAACAACAAGAAACTTGTTTAGGACAACATATGGTACTTGCAGTGTTTTCTTTTCAATTGATTAGGTTGTGTTGTTTCTGCCATCTGCATTCAGTAATTTATCTTAACATATCTTGGCCTATTTGGATTGAAAATGGTTTTTATTTCATCCTTTTATTTTTTATCACCAATTCACAAGAGTTCTCTTGCAACAGTTTTCAACTGTTGCCAATATCTCTGGAAACTTTGTCACCAGCTAAAATGAGAATATTGATTAAAAGTGTTTTCATGCCTTTCTAGCATAAGGGAACATGAATATCCAGATTACTTTTTGGTGTCCAAGAGACCTGAGTTATTTTATTAATTTCCTTTTGAAACCCTTAGATGGAGGGTGTGTGTATCTTGTGTTAGGATGAGGATCCTCCTTTTAGAATCTCCCTTGAGAAATTCTTGACTGCTTTTCTGGAGAAGGCTGGGGTTGTGTATTCTGTCCTTTAGAGGTGGATATATAAATGTAGGAGGAAGCAGAAAGCATGGTTAGAACTTCACTACTTTCCTTAGTTTTTGTGTTGCATTTGCCCTGCTTTTTTTACTTACTTGATGTGTTAGCTTCAGAATTTGTCTTTTTAAGATTTTTTTTTAAATTCTGTTCTTAGCACCACTACTTCTTTCAATGTCTATTTCTAAATACACACACCACCCCTCTTAAATTTTTCTTTTAAATGTTTTGTTCAATTTGCATCTTGTAAAATTCCTGGGGTTTGCTAATTTTCCTTCAAAGTTTGTCGTGGGCTTTTCACTTCTCTTTCTTAGTAATCTTTTAAAGATGTAATCATAATGTGGTGCTGTTCACTGAGGTCTTTATCAGGTGCTGGTTTTTTCCACTAAATCCTGTTCCAATTCCAGAAAATACATTATTAGACAGAAAAATAGGAGTCACAGATATGACTGTAGTTCAGTGTGATCCTTTTCCCTTATAAATTTTGGAATAATTCTATCTCAGATCATCCCAAAGAAAGATTCGAAAGCTCTGGTGTTATTATGAATTCATTCTTTTTATTCAAAACAGTACAATCTTAATATCCTGTCTTTTGGGTTTGTTTGAAGGAGAGGGCTGCAGAACTCCCTGTGAGGCCTTTGGTTTATTATATTTGTTTCCAGCTGTACAATAGGATAGAAATTCTCTTATAAATATGTAACAGGATCTTTCTTCTCATGCCCTTCTGGAAATGTTCTAATACTTAGTGTTGCTTTTTTCATTACTTTCTAATTTTCTTTTTACCTTCGACTTTTTCATTTTGATTCCTGTTTTTTAGGAAAAATGTTTTTATTTCAAGGTCACAGACATTCTCCCTCTTTCCTCTGAAGTGTTTCTGATCCAGTAAACCTTCCACTTCAGTGCTGCAAATTACATTTCAAAAATCATCTGTACTTCCTCTTGGCTCTGCCCAGTTTTCCTTCTCCTCTTTTCTCTGCATGTTCCCTTTCCTAGCAGCTTGCCTACCCTTCTTTGATGCCACCAGAGCTGAAGAGGAGAGTGTGGGGGTGATGTGCTCAGGAGTGGGATGTGATGGGGGCTTTAAAACAGTGCAGTGTACAGAGCACTGACATGTGCAGATCCTCCTCCTGAATCAGGAGTGCTGTTTCCTATGGCTGTACTGACTGTTACATTTCTAGTCCTTGCCTAAGGATTTTCTTTCAACAGCCACCATCAATCTGTATTTAAGATAGCAAAGATAGCATCAGGGACTTTAATTCTGTACCACTGTGAGCTTCTTAGCTAAGGGTATGGAATTGTCTCCATTGCTCTCAAGGGCTTTGGTCTTAAGAGCAGCACTCTTGCTTCATGATACAGTGTCAAGTAGTAGAAATTTAAAAATTATGCTATTTAAAAAAATATATAACTTTTAGAAGTTATATTTTATCTCTATAACTGCAAGTTAATCCTTAATATAAAAAAACCTGTTAATTTTAAAAAATGTGATGATGAAATAAGAGCCACTTCACTGATGTGGGATTGTGTGGTATCTTCTGACCATTCACAGAAAAATACAGTTGATCGTTTTGACTTGAACGAACTCCTTCAAGAATTGCCAAGAAAAAAGAAGGAAGTGCTATGGGAGAGACTGACACAGCTGTTGACAGAGAACTTGATGGAGAGCCCTGTGGAAACGTGGCAGAGGACTGGAGATGATAAAAGTGATGATCACATGGAAGTCGAGATAACTCCAGAAATTGTAAGAATCTTGTAAAATGAAAATAGGATGAGTATTTCATATTTTTGGGGAAATAAAATTGAATATTTTCATAGCATCTAGAAACATACAAGGCTTATCAAATAAGATCAGTTCCAAACATCATCCCCCTGCCCATTTTCAGCTGACTTAATTTATTCATGGGTTAAGCTGAACTTATGATTGGTCTATACTATAAAACACTAGATCTGCTGGTAATTTTAATTATGAAAGATGTGACATAGTTTTCTCAGTAGAGTTAATTGGGCTTTTTTGTATGTCTTATTTCAGTAAATGAATGCTGATATTGCAAATGTTCCTTAAGTATCTGGCATACACTATAAAAAATTCACTACCTGATTTGTTCTGCCATTTCTTCGAATGAAGATCACGAAATCTAGATTTGAATGTCCCTTCCACAAATGGAGCCTATATAGAATTTCTCTGACTCAGACTCTCATGTACTTCCATCTACTGTAGTCTTATCTAGTCTTGAGAATATCAGGGAAAAGGGTTACTTTAATTTTGAAGAAAGAAAAGAAATGTAGTGGTGAAACCATTGGGGAGACCTGGAGGCTTGTAGAAAATCAGTCATAGACCTGGATCCAAAGTGAGCAGATCTACACATTCCTGAGTTGCACAAGACCCTGCTAGTTAAGGTTTGTTTAGCTCTGAAATGGATGTGTTTGAGTGGGTTTGTTGCAGATGAGGTTTTTAGTGGAGGAATGGATACACATGTACAGTCACAATTATCTACTAGCTGGAGCTGACAGCCCTCTTCAAACTTTTTGAAGCAGATGTACTCTAAAACTCTGTTCTTTTGCCTCTTATTTGATAGGTTTTGGGTGCCAGTATACTCCTTCTTCAGAATGGAAGCATAATAATTGAGCTCTGCTCTCTGTTGCTAGGGTTTATTTCTTGTTGAAATTATCTTCTGAGTCCAAAACAAACTGCAGAATTGTTTCCTTAACATGACTTTCTTTCAGAAACAAACTGTAGCAGTGATCCAAGGAGTGACAGCTGTCGTGACTGCTTCCATACCTGCAGTGGATGAAAATGTAAACTACAAAGCTCTTCTAGAATGTGTTTTTATATTAAATGGTGGGTACTTGTCTGTACAGAATACAGCATTTTACCAATGTGTATGGTGGGCTGTTTGTTTGAGCTGACTGAAATCCAACTGGCCTGTGAAACAGAACTCCCAGGTGTCGTGGGTTTACTGGTTGGTACTGAGGAGAGTTGGTACTGATGGGAGCTCTTACTGAGACAGAGTTAAGGGAGCATTTACTTAAGAATCAGCTGCACAAGTTAGAAGTTGGAACTTTAAATAATTTTCTTGCTCCCAGCTGTTCACTCAATGATAGGTAACTTTGATTGTCCTGTGGCTTATATTATTTTTAAGGCAAAACTTAAGATTCCATTATTACTGTTCAAAAAACTTGGCCAAACCTTGAGAGTTGATAAAGCTGCCTAAATACCTGCAGTGAGAATAAGCCATTAAGGTGTGTAAATGTGGCAAGAGCTGGTTGACACTGTGAGGTACAGTTAGTGTACTAAGAGGCTACTGTTTTACAGGAATAACTTGGCTCATTGCGGTAAATAATTATTTTGTTACTGTTGTAGGTATTCTTCCTGCATTACCTGCATCTGAAAAAATCTTACAGGATGCTATCCAACGTGTATGTGAAATGTGGTGGCAGAAGGGACTGGAAGGGAAGGAGGTTCTGGGGAAGACTCTATTTATCATTCTGCTAAGAAAAAGCCTGCATAAAGCTGCTGTGGTATGCTGAAGCTATATTGACTTTCAGATTATTTTTTAGTAAGTCAAGAAAGATGATCCCTCCAATAAAATATTGCCTTCTCTAGAACAAAGTTTAAAGATTTTTGGCATCAGTTTCACAAGTGAACTGGGGTGGTTTTTTTGCATTCTTTTTTATCTTTTTACTCTTTTGTCCAGTACAATGACCAAGGTTTCAATAGCAATTAACTCTCTTAGATAATCCAGGATTTAAGTACTATATTCAGCTACTCATAAAAGCAAGTTTTGTGGGAAGCTTCATTTTATGTTACACTTTATCATTCTACAAATAATTTTCCTTCTCTATTATTGGACTGAAATTCTTTTTTTTTTAAATGCATGAATTACTTGGACTATTGTGATATACATCTTTTGCACTAACCCAATATATGTATCCTTTACTTATTTATTTCTTCTCTTTTTTCCTAATAACTACATTTTCTTCTGTTTTGCCCTGTTAACTGTGTTTATTGTATGAAGTTTCAAAAGTGGAATAATATAGTTTTAATGTATTTTGTATGAAATGGCAGATTTCTTTCTGTACTTCAGCATGTCTTCATTTGGTGGAAGTCAGTATTTCTGCAGCTACACATATTTTTTCCCTGTGATGTGATGAAATTAATGCTCATAATTTTACAATCTAAAAATCTTCTGCCTAGCAGTGCATTTCAAATTCATTATTTAAAATCCTTTAAATGTGTCTGTGTATTAGAGCAATCCCTTATTCACTATAATGTGAGTTGCTTCTTTCCTGTCAGGGTGCAGATATAGTTCGTCTGTGGAATCTACATCAGGCATTACTTTGTTTTGATTATGATTCAGAGGAGAGTAATGAAGTCAAGGACTTGTTGCTTCAGTGTTTTATGAGTGTAAAACACATTAAGAAAGAAGAGGTAAGCAAAATTTTATCTTACTGTGATTTTATGCCAGTGGGATTTGGTGGCTTTTAATAGTTTTGCATTAAGTCTTTTTTTACAGTACAGTAGGTAGCAACATGAGGCAAATCAGCTCTGACTCCAGGCTATAAATGGGTGATATTCTGTTTCATTTGGAAAAAACTTTATTTCTATTCCACACTAAAGTGTGAAAATATGTGTCTAAATCTTCAGTCTGGTTCTTGTATCTTGAGGTAATAAGAACCAAGTGCTTTGCTTTCAGTGCATGTCCCTCAATATTTAAAATCATTCCCTGGTATAATTCTCTTCTTTTATAGCAGTTTTTTCTTTTATTGGAGACAGATAGCTGTAGCAAAATAATTTTCCTTCTAAATGATTCCATTTAGAAGATTGCATTGCCATAGTCTGTTTTGAAAGTAGCATAAAAAGAACCGAACTTTACAGCAAAATGAGAAATATTTCATTTGACTACATACATTTCTCTCAGTAAGCAATTGCTGTTTTGAAGTTTTTAGATTGTGCTTGTGCACCAGGATAGTGGTATCCAAGCCTTTTTTTCTGGTTAAGTGACCAGACCACTTGGCATTGTCTCTGAAGTGCTAACTCCTCCTTGCATGTTTAAAATATATATCTTCCATTTCATGGAATATACAAACTTTCGTCATAAAATAAGCTCCAAGGTTGCTGCATGATTGTGGCAGTGTGGGGATATGGCATTTTAAAATTGGGGGTAGCAAGTGAATTAGGTGAGATGTTTGATAGTGCAGGTTTTAGATACCTGCCACGAAGTTGGTGGCTTTGAGCGTTCCCATTTTCCTTTCCACAGTATGAATGCTCAAGCAGCTATGTCATGGGTTGATTGAAGGAGGTAGCTGTTTTTTCATAGTAAGATAATTTTTCAAACAGATTAACTGCCTGGACTGGTTGATCATATGCAAGACTGAAGAGAAGGGTCAGGAATGTTCCAAACACCCTGGTTCTAAATCAGATTAAACTGATACAGAATTGTACAGTTATACCTTATTGCAAGATCGAGGAGTTCAGTGTTCCTGCCTTCCCAGGCTGTGCTATTCAACACAGAGTAATATTTCTCAGAGGCTTATCAGGCTGCATCAGTGGAGTGATCCTCTGTGATGTAAGAAAACATTCTTGTTCTGATGGGGTTTCCTATCAAACAGCTGGAGAGCCCTGCAGAGCGTTACTGTCTTTTAGAGATAGGTCTGTTGTACTCTCTCCTTCCTTGCTCCCCTTCCATGTGTACAACAGACTAAGGCACATGTACAGTGTCCACAAGCACAGCAGCACCAGCCACCAACACTCTGATAATGTATTAACCCCAAAGGTGACAAGTTCACAGTCTTGCTCACCTATCAGCAGTTTACCTCTCGTGATACTGTGGATGTTGATCCCAGTGATGATTTCAGATCCATTGATCACAGGCAGCAGATTAAATTAGAGGCACTTACCATAATTTTCAGGATCAGGCTCAGTCTTTTGAAATCTAAGGCAAAAAAGAATTGGTTGAAAGCTACTTGGTGGATTTTTATTGTCTTTCTTGCTGCTGGGATTGTAGAAGATGAGATGAGTTTGAGTTTGTCCTCATGTTTGTTCATTGAGGCAGAAGTTGTAGGCCAAGACTCCCTTGGTTTGTCAGGGATGTTGATGTGTGACATGCCCACTGGGACTCATAGATATATTAGACCACCAAAGTAGGAAATAGTAAGTTGTGGTTTTTTCCTAAATAGAAGCAACTCTCTTGACAACAGAAAGGATTCCATCAGACCTGTACACAAGGATCTTGATATTATATTTAGCCTTTAGGTCTTGATTTTTATGATCTTCTGAATTACTTCTTGATCCAAAGGCATTTAAGCTATCAATTCCACTAAAGGGCAGTTTCCAGCTATATACTTCCTTCCATCTCCCCTACTCTGGGATATTCCAACTCAAAGTGTGACTGGCATTCTATTTTCTCAGTTCTGTCATAGGTGTGAATACAACTGTTTGTCCAGCCCTCACTGGAAGTGCCTCTGTTTGTTCAGTGACCCTTTGCACTTCTGCCAATCTGCTCTTTACTGTTGCACTTCCTTATTAATTTTCCTGATTTATTTTTGGCTAGAAAGCTGACAGGTACAAAGGACCCTTACAGCTGGCTGACTCACCCTCATGTATGATCAAGCATTTTAAAGTCTCAAAAACTGGATGCCTTCACTTCATATGTAAGATGAACCAGGAGTGGGGCTGCCTGTACAGATACTTTGTAAGGCTCCAATTCCATGGGCAGATCTTGCTGGTTCTGGAAAAGGAATGACTTATTTCCTTCAAAGCCTTTCACTGCCTTTGCTTGTCAGATTGTTGTCGTTGTTTCTGACTTGCTAAAGTGAATGAAAACTAATATGAGAAAAAAAGTGTTTCTGTTTTCATGAATGAAAGCAACTCCTGGAGGTTTGCAATATTACCTTTCGTGCAATAACAAAGGAACTGTCCTTGCTGATCAGAACATTTATTGTCCTCAGTGGCCCAGCTGTTCCCTGTGGCTTTGTTCAAAAACGTTTCCATGTCCAGTGCTGGTAGAGTTGTTGTGGTGTTTTATTTGTGCCTTCTTCCTGGACTGACACTGCACTTGACAGAGCTCTGGTGTTCTGGCCCATAGGAGGGTCCTGAGTTGCACAGTCCCTTGTCATTATGGAATACTAATGGAAGTCATGCCAAAGGAGAATGGACTTTGAGAAAGTGCAGGCAGATGTGTCGTCCACGTGTCCATTTGTTTTGTGTTTTCTGTACAGTATGAGTAATGCTTGAATTCTGTTTAAAAATTAAGAAACTTTAATTTTTTCCATCTCAGCTACATTTCTAAAATTAAAGATGTAATTTCTTTTGATCTTTAAGCTCTGCATTTACTGATTTTTGAGGTATCTCTTAAAGTGGGAGTTCCTCCTAGGTTTGACTTCTCTGTTTTTTCCTCTTTTCCTCTCCACACAGGGAAGAAGATTCCTGAGTTTTTTGTTCAGCTGGAATATAAACTTCATTAGGATGATACATGGAACTGTTAAAAACCAATTACAGTTCTTTCCAAGGTATGCATCACACTTAGAGTACTTAATGATGGTTAAGAGCTCAGCTAAAATCTTGTTTGTCTCACTGTAAAAACACACAGTGTATTGATAAATATATCAGAACCCAGAAACCTTCAAATCTGCTGACTATAACTACCATATGGTTTCAGCAACTTCATTTAATAGTTCTCTGACCTGCCTAGGTGCACAGTTATAGGTATTGTAAAATGCTTATTTGGCATTAGCTAAAGCAAATGACTGATAGAAATTGGACTGGGTTACTTGCAGTGCTTGTGTGAGCATCCCAGACCCATTTCTTCTTTTGTAGGAGGTTTCTGGTTTTTTCCTCTGAGCAACCTCTGATTTAACTTGGTACGATTGTGGATACAGATGTTCTCATATGAAGTGGCTTTCAGGATCAGGAACTTAACTGATGAATAAAAAAAATGGATATTTTTAAATTATTCCATGAAATTTTACAGAATTAACTATTCATATTAAAATCAGAGGCTTTCTAATGCTTTCAGTTAGCATAATATATACCTGTACATCTGTATAAAGAATTTGAGGCTTTCACTGTGAGATAAATGATAAAATATCTGTGCCAATGTTTTGACTCTCCCCCCATAAGAGGTATTTCCTGTGTTATGTAATAGTGCTTGGCTTCATTAATTATCAGTTACTTTGTAATTAGCTGTGTAGACTTGAAAAGGTGGTTTCATCTCAATTACGATGCACAGAATTAAGAATACTATCGGTACTTAAAAAAACTTTATGAATTGTACATGGATATGGTTAGGATGCTTGCTTGAAAGTGTTTCCCATATGTTAATACAGATCCTTGGTGGAATACATTGCAGAAGTTTACTTCAGGTCCTGGAAGAAGGTATCAGGAGAATTCATAGAGGTAACACTGCTTGAAATTTCATTTGGATAATTTTGAATTTCAAGGTGGGGAACAGACATGACTTTTCAACCTCATGAATGTTCCTAACCAAACCTTAAGGAATTATTTCCCTGAGGAAAAGGCATCTTCAGCATTGTCAAAGAGTAACAGCTTGTCATGCTTTGAATATTTGCCCATTGTGATCAGCTTGGCTGCATTTAAACACCTGTAGTTCTGCAGCTGAAGTATTGTTTACACAACTATGCACATACACCGTGTTTTTCATAGACACACTAGTTATCTGAGTTATGGAAGCTTTTATTCAGTATGTGCAAGTCTATAGAGTTGATAGCTCAAGTATTTATGTAGTTTTTGTGGATTTCCATGGGGATGATCAAAAGCATATTTACAGCATCACAACAATTCCAGAGCAAAATTTCAGATACCAAAAACTTCTTACTTACCGTGTGGGGGTGCTTTTAGGTTCTGAGAATTGGATTAGCTGTATATTCTGAAATTTTGAAAATCAGTTTAAGAAGACAGGCCTGCAGCATGGAAAAATTTGGGCCAAGCAGAAGCCAAGTAAGAAATAACGTCAAAGACTATTTTCATTTGCTTGTTTTAGAGAATAATATAGTTGCTGCACACCCACAGTACTTATTATTGTTTTATTGTGTTAACAGTAGCATGTATGTGTTCTTACTATAGGAACTGGAACATAACTGCATCCAGGATTTCATGCATCATGGAATTCATCTTCCCAGAAGTTCTTCTGTTCATTCTAAAGTTAGAGAGGTAAGTTCCTGTAAAGCAGAGCAGTGCTCACGTGGAGCCAAGGCTTTCTCTTCCCCACTGTTTCCCTAGGGAAGTAGGCTGGGGATGAGGAAGAAGTTGGGAGGGTCACAGCTGAGACAGCTGATCCAAATTGACCAAAAGGATATTACATGCCATATAACCATCATGCTCAGCAATAAAAACAGGAAAAGTGAATTTTGGGGAGGTAGTACTTGCTTGGAGACTGGCTGAGTATTGATCTGCTTGTGGGAGGTGGTGAGTGATTGCATTTGCATCATTTTTTGGGACTTTTTCTGATCCTCTTTCCTTCATTTATTATACTGCTTTGTCTTGACCCATGACCTTCTTGCTTTTCTCTCCCAGTTCTCTTCCCACCCCACAGGGCAGGGAGTGAGTGAGTGAATGGCTGTGAGTGGTATGTGCAATATGTATCTTGACAAACCAGCATATATTACTATATTGGCTTTTTGATTTGGTTTGGTTTTTTTGGGGGGTTGTTCTGTTTTGTTTTCTCATATCTGTAGGGTTTCCTTGTCCTGTGATTCCTGATGGATGGAATACACTTTTGACAGGGCATTTCATGTGTTTCAGGCTCAGAAGCTTCTGATCTTGAAAGAGGACAGTGAATTAATCTGTCTTTGGGTTACAAGGAGAGTGGGTCTCCGAGTAAATTTGAATGATGTTTTCTTTTTCCGTAGGCAGGAATTTGATTTAAAACGATCCTTTAGAATCCAGAAGTTCCTGTAGCAGCTGGGAGAGTAACCAACCACAGTTACTCACTTGAGCAAAGTTTGGGCTACCTCTTTTGTTGGAAGAGAAGTGAAGGAGGGGAGAGCAACACAGATAACTCTCCCTTCTGAATTCAGAGTTCTGACTGTAACACAAATGTCTGTCTTGCAAATATTCAATACTCACCTGTTCTGATGAAATCTATTACAAGACAGTATTGATTTGCCATTAGTCCTGGGTTAGATCCCTTATTATCATGTAGAAACAAGAGCTACATAGTCTCTTATAAATTGTAACATGTCTTTACTCCAGTGTATTCAAAACCTAGAGAAAAGCCGTTCTTTCCCCAGAGTGTCCTTTCTGTGGACGTTATTCCCAGGCTTCTCCATCCATCTGTAGCTGTGAATACTTGAGCTACTGACCACTAGAGGGTCAACTTCTTTTCAAACTGACCAGTGTTTTGGGTGGAAGAATTACTTCATATCAAGTTACTTGATGTTCTTTCTCATATTCTACTCTGTCTTCCACTTTCTTTTTCTTTTCTGCATAATTTAGATACAAAAATAAGAGGATCTTTAGCCAGCTAGGCATAGTTTTGAGTCCCAAGGAGTGCTGATACTTGGTTTTCATCAATGCACTAAAAATGTATTACCTTTGTAGAGTTGTATTTGGATAACTCCACTTACTAAGTAATGTTCCTTTGTTCTTAAAAGAGAAAAGGCTTATTTATCTGTAGTTGATAATGTCATGGTTTCAAAGTGTTTCTGACAGTTACTTTAAAAACACTTTTTTGCTGTAACAAAATGAGTTGTTTTCGTGAAACTCTCTAGCCACTGCTTTTTCTTATTTGTAGATCTATAAAGTTATAAAATTTGATATTTATTAGTCTATTTAGTTTTATTATTTTTGAGACTTTATTAAAATATAGGGTCAATTAATATGTCTAATTTTATCGTTTTCCATATTACAAAAACTCATCGGTCTTACATAAATTTTGAAATGGGACAACTCCTTATCACTTCTTGAATGTAGAAAATACTGTTAAAATGGATTTGGGGACTGGTTTGTTTGTTTGTTTTTCTTTAGATGCTGAGTTATTTTCATAAACAAAGTAGAGTTCGTCAAGGAGTAGAAGAAATGCTCTATAGATTGTATCAGCCTATCCTTTGGAGAGCACTGAAGGTAATTATCCTTTTCAGAAAATAGGACTGTTTTTCTCCAACTGCTAAATTTTGGGTCTCTCCCACATCTTCTGTTTTTATTAGTTGCTTTTAAAATGAAATGACTACAAAAAACAGAATCAGTGTTTAATATCTTGGATGTAGCTGAGTAACTTTGCAAGTTGTAATTAGGCAGAGTATGCACAACAATATTCTGATTTGTTCATGTGGTTTACTTCTATAATTCAGTTTTGTTCACAGGTACCTAGAGTGCTTTCCAGGATTACATCTTCTCAATTTGGAAATGTTGTGTAATGTTGTATTCTGTTTTCGGAGTTCTTTAGGGAATTATCAGTGCTCTATTATCAAAGCCAAAAATGTTCAGAGGACGATTCCTTCTCACCTTCTGATTACTTACCAGCCTTAGAATACAACTCAATGAATTTATTAGGGTATTATTTTAGAAAAACTTTTATTCCACTTTGATTGTATGTACAGACATTCATGCCATGGATATGCTTTTAATCACGTGGTCAGAATGAAATTTATTCTACTTTTACAGTGTGTGTGTGTCTTTGTTGCATGCACAGACTAAAAGGGACCTACTGCAGTTTGCCCACTCAGTTCCACTCTGTGATTAAAATGAGCCAAGCTTCCTTCTTTGTGAACAGCTTTTATTTTGTCTGAGGTTATGAAATCCCTGATTGTGAGAGCACACACACCCCATTTGTTACAGCCCAGTCAAGTGCTGTTAAACATCTACAGTTTCATTGCTGGTTGGTCATACAGCATCTTCTGTAGCCATGGGAGAAGTGTTTGAAATTCTTAAAGTTGAAAGTATTTAATAAAAAGTTGATGAAAATGGATTTTATGAGGTTCAGGAAGGAGTTGAGAGTTTCTAAAGAACCTTGTGATAGAGGTGGGAAGGTGAACAGACTCATCGCTAGCCCAGTATCTTGGTTGGTCTTACATTAATGGTTGGATTCCATCCTTTTAGAATTAATATAAACAAGGAACCTTCTGGATGAAACATGTATGTTCCTAGTGCAAGAGAATAATAGCTACAAAGCATGGCTTCCTTAATTTTACTTTTTTTGTCCCTAAAAAGAATAGGGGGTTTAAATGATCTTGGATCGGATGGTAAAATTCTTGACTAATGTCTCAGAACCAGCTTCAGAGTAGTTAGCAAAACAGTATTCCATTCTTAGGGGAGTTGCTACCTGGAAATGGAGGTTAGTGATCACTTTCCAAAGCCCAGAACTCAAATATAAGATTGCAGTATTTTGGAGGAACATTCTATCAAACCTTACTAAATCTGCATAGATTTATTTGGACAAATGTAACAGAAAAGTATATCTTGAAGGGAAAAAAGGTTAATTATTGATTTGCAGCAAGATAGTGGGAGAATTTCACTGATTCCAGAAGCGGTTGAAATTTTTAACAGCTGCTATTCTTAATTTTCACATCACTAATGGTTCCATTGCTAGAAAAAATCTTACAGTACTGTTGGAGTGTTTGGTGTTTTGAAGTAACTGTTGCTGTGACTCAGAATCAGCAGTAGTTTAAGATACAGAACTGAGAAGGGAAGCTTATAATTGTCCTTACTGAATCCTTATGGATTCTACTGCAAAGCTTGAAATGTCAGCTTAATTTTAGGTAACCAGTTTGATGCTCCTATTTTAGCCAAGTCCCTAATTTAATACAGTGAAGAACAAATCTTGTTCTAGAACACTGGTTACGAAACAAAGGACATGCTGCCCCTCCTTCTTGCAGAAAGCAAAAATACTTCAGTTCTAAGAATATAACAAATTCCAGAACTGTTTGTGTTGAAACTACTTGATTTCATGTCTGGAATCTTTAAACTGAGAGTGTACATTTGTAATGCAGAGTTCTCTGTTTCTTCCTAAATGGCTTGTTTTGCAAATACTTAGTTCACACAAGCTTCTGTTGGGGCTCCTACCTACACTTATTTTTATAAGCCTTTATGCAACTTGAAGTTTTTCTAAGCCCATATGTAACTTCTTCATATTTTTCACGTCTTTATTATGAAAAGTAGGTGTCATGCAAACATAACAGAGATAGTTGTGCAGTAATTGGTTATTAGTATAAGAAGCTATATGGATATAAAAATATGGATATTTAGTGTGAGATAAGTAGTGATTAAGCTATTTCTTACCAAGCTCAAAAAGTCAAGAACCACTCCTCCAGGAATTCAAGCTGTTAAAGGAAGTGAGTCCTTTAAAGTGGTGTGTTTGGTTGTCTTTTTTTTTTTTTAAACATCCCACGCTTTTAAACTAAGATGTACTGGGGAAACAGTGCTTTGAATAATTGGAAGTGAATTTTAGGATCTGTAAGACCAGATGAAATTTAAAAGAAAGCTCTGAAAATTAAATGAAGGAAAAAGTTAAAATATTGTTCAAAAAGGTTCCGAAAGTTCCTCAGAATAGTACAAGCATAAAGATAAAGAAATATTAGTCATTTAAATAACTGCAGGCTGTCGCATGGAAAAGCCATTGTGGTTTAAAACAGGATATGAATTTAAAGTCTTAGGTTCTACCTCTGTGAAGACATTTGCTCTTCTACAAGCTTGAATATGCAAATACATTTGGGATAAACTCCAATTAATTAAAGGCAGGAATTTGAACTGTGGGTACGCAGTTCAGAATTAAAGTGAGCTTAATGGAATTCAGTGTAATGCACTTAGAAAGTTTATGGAAATTAACTTTCTGGAATGGCCATGGTAGATAAGGTCTAGGTTATTGCACAGAAACACATTTGAATTAATTTTCACATGCAATATTAGTGCAGAAGAGTTATTTCACCCTGAATTCACATATTAGCTTCTTATATGTTAATTCTTAAATATAGACAAGCTCAAAGTTAAAGGATTTTCTACAGCTTTATAGGATAGAATTAAGAATTATGATCTTTCCACCTTTAAAGTGTTTGCATTATCCATGATAAATAAAGTCCCTAGCTAAAGAATGCATGTATGTGGCTTTTTTGCCTTTGTAGGATTCAATTTAGAATTGCTAATAATTTTGTTGACTAGAAGAATTTGGAATGTTCTGGTTCTACCCAGAGATGTGATCCACCATATCAGGGTTGGTCCAGGAGAGAAATACAAAATAGACTGCAAATGACATAATTGTTACTCGTTTCTTTTGTGTCTTTCTGGTTTTATTTGTCATTAATTTATTTAAGTCTAAATATTATAGGGTTATCATCATGTTTCTTTTCCCTGCCTTTGATCTGAACTTTCCTTATGACAAGGGAAGAAGAAAATTGGATTATTAGAATAGTCAGGAGGTTCCCTGAGCTGTCTCTTGTCTTGCTGTTAGAATTAAGCCTACTTTGCTTGTTATATTACACTATATATAGTCTCATACATAGATTTCTTTTTTTTTAATTTAGACCCAAAATCTGAACAAATTTCTTCCTTCCCTCTTTCCAAGAGAAGTTGGCAGAGGCTCTTAATCATTGCACTGCTATCTCTGTTAAATAAAATGTAGTTTGAAGGTTAGATTTCAGGTTTCTCCCTGAGATGCTTTGTATTTCATCATCATTTCATTGCCTGCTCTTTTTCTGTCCTTTAAGAGTCCACAAGGTCAGTTATCTTTCACTGAATGAGTGTCTAAATATCCACCTTTTTCATTTTTCTTTGCATTTGGGACTCTACAACCAGTAAAATGTATGTTGGAATACACTAAAAACTGTTACAAATGGGATAATGTCTGAGGGTTGTGAGGCTTGCCATAGATTTTTGATTTTTGATGAGCTGCCTGGGGCTCAGAACATTCCTTCTGTGCACAGATGCAGAAATGAATAATATGTTTATGCTGGATAAGTTGCTCTCCAGGTTTTCTGATGCTTGGTTACTAAATACTGTTTTCTAGAAGAAATAGGCTTGAGCTTTTCAATTAAATCACCTGTCTCTTGACAGGCAAGGTAATTAATTCTGTAATTTAATCTGCTTGAATTCAGGATTCTTTTGCCCTGAAGAGGAGCTTTAAGGCAACCAAGAGAAGTCCCAATTGCTTTTAATTTTTTCAGCATTACAGAAAGCAGAAGGGCTCTGACTATGACTCTTCAGGGTCACTGAAGTTGATATTCTTTGAAAGCTAATTGTAACAATAACTCAGGTGTTACTGAACGGGTGGAAGTGTAAAGTAACACATTAAAACTCATATGTGATCATAAGTTCTCCCATGCATTTATAAATTCTTCTCTTCCATCTACTTAATTAAAAACACTAACTTGCTTAAAAGTGTTGGGAGAGCAGTATTTGACAGGATATGCCTCTGGATATTAAGTCTGTCCTTATTGAAACAATATTTTTTCCTCCATTGTAACAGGCCAGAAACTCAGAAGTTCGAGCAAACGCAGCATTTTTGTTTGTTGATGCTTTTCCTCTTCGTGATCCCAGTTTTGATGCTGAAGAGATGGACAATGAAATTCAGAAACAGTTTGAAGAGCTTTTTGTAAGTTTTAATGAAACTAAAATGTTAAAAGTTAAACTTTCATCGAAGCTAACTCAAAAATCAGTTCTTGATGCAATTAAAACTTATGGAACTTCTGGACAGTATTTGGAGGGAAATACAGGTCTCTGTTGCAGAAAATGCAAAAATAAAATAATATTTTAAATTTCTGTAGTATGTTCATAGCAGATGGCACACACCATTTTCAAGTCTGAGAAGGAAATATTAGGGTTTGTTATTCATTAATCTTTAAATAAGAGATGCTTTTGAAAGACTAGACCTAGGATTGGTAAAGAGAGCTTTACAGTTAATATGGAAACGTTCAATGAAAGATGAGTATTTTATTTCTAAATGCTTCTGAAATTAAGTGTAATAGAGATAAGAACCTAAAAAATGCCTTACCAGTCTAGATGGGTGAGAATGGGCATAGTATTTTCATTAAGAAAATATTTAGGAATCATGAGTAAACATCTGATAATTGAATGGATTTCAAAGTTTTTGTGTTGCTGCATAGGAGCAGTGATCAGTGTAAACTCATATTAGTAAAAGTCTAAATATTCTTAATTAAATCAAAAATATAAGACTTAATATGATCTATTAAAAAAAATAAATTTCAAAAGTCCAATTCAAAAAGTTGACCAATAGGTGTATTAATTTTGCATTAGATTTAAGTTGCTTAGTTTGTTTTATAATAAAATGCCTTGAAGGACTAATAATATCACAGTTCTTTTATTGTCTGACAATTTGCATAATGACTGAAAGGCAGTGGAATGCTTTTTGTTTATGATAGGTTCATGTCAGACAGCAATATGGTCACAATAATGCATATGCTCACATTATTCTTCTGTTTGTTTTAGAGTCTCTTAGAAGATCCTCATCCAGTTGTCCGCTCTACAGGGATCCTTGGAGTTACTCAGATAACATCCAGATACTGGGAGATGATTCCTTCAGTAATTGTTGCTGATCTTTTAAAAAAGATAACTGGGGAGCTGGCATGTGATGTATCATCTGCTGATGTTCGATGCTCTGTATTTAAAGTAAGTAACTTTTCTAAATTAAAAATAGTTTTGGTCATTTTTATATTTTACTTGATGCACAGGTTTCTAGTATCATTTAAGGCAAGGAATAACTCGTCCTGCAAAATAACTTAGGCAATAAAATTCTTAAAACCTGGAAGTTTGACGTGCTTTATAAAAGCCACGCATTTGGAATACACAAATGCCTTTTAAAATAGGAACTGATGGGCTTTCTGACTCTCAGCTGCTTTGAATTTCCAGTCTTATAGACGTTGTTTGGACCTGATAATTCAGTTATTTGAACTATTAGAAATGATGCTTAGACTTGACAACATCTGCAGGCAGGTTCCAGGATGTCTCCAAGTCCCTGGTCTTAGCATGTCCCAAGACGTGCGCAGTTAGGATTTTGTATCCCACTTCGTGTTTCTGAGCTTTGGATGGCTATAGTTCCACACTGTTTCTCTGGTAATGCCTCCTTCCTGTGCATTGCTCAGTATGTTAGAATTAGTTCATCTACATCTTTCTGACATATGATAAATAACTGAAAGCTTGGACAGAAAAATGAACTCCCTGAGCAGTATTTTCACTTGAAGGTTTTGTGTCTGTATCAGTTCAGCCTTAAACTGGAGCAATCTTCATGCTAATCCTCACTTGCTCCTCTACAGCCACATGGGGGGGCTATACTGGACAGGCAGAGTGCTGATTTAAAAATAAATTGGAGAAATAGTATGTATTTTTAATTTGAAATCAGCACAGTTTAGGGAGCTGGTATTGCTACCACAAAAAACACTTGACAGTGTGCTCTCAGATAGAAGGCAAGACCGTGGCCCCAGTGAAAATCTAAAGCTCCTTCAGCTGAAATGAGTTCACTGAACAGTTCACCGGAAATTTAAAATAACAAAATCAATTTTTGCTAAAGAATATTACGAGAAAAATATGCAAGTGCAGTATCTGTCCCTGCTTCATTTAACCTTAGAAGTGTCATGGTCCAATTCAGCAATTTTTGCCTAGATATTTTTTCAAGCCTACTTTTTCTGGTTTTGTTTTTTTTTTTTTAGTGCCTACCAGTAATTTTGGACAACAGCCTAAGCCATCCATTACTGGAACAGCTCCTGCCAGCGACCAAACACAGCCTTCGTGACAACTCGGAGAAGGTGCGAGTGGCTTACGTCGACATGCTGCTGAAAATTAAGGCTACCAAGGCTGCTAAGGTAGGATATGTGATGCTTGATAAGTAGCAAGGAGATAAAATCAAGGTGTTTATTTAAAACAAAAAAGAAGTACATTTTGAGACTACTGCAGTATTCCTAAAGGGAAAGAAATACATGCTTTGCTGTAGTAATGCTCTTAATACTTGTGGTATCCTGAGTGCTCCACTGACCTGTGTGTTGGGAGATGTATGGCTTGGTTTACTCAGTCAGAAGAAACAAAAGATCACAGAACCTGTTCTGAAAGTGTTGGGCTCTGAAATCTTAATCATGATCTCTATTGTATTCTTGTGTTATTATTTATTATTTTAAAAATACTCAGCTAACATAATCCCCTAATATCTTATAATCTTACTGTGGTTCTTTTAATATTCATTTCTACATCACTCTGTAACCTCACAGGTACTCAGCACTTCTTCTGGTGCTGGGTTTTAACTCTTCATAGCAGTATGATTTGTTTGAAGGACCGGCACCTGCAGTCATGACTTGATCCCTTAGTATCAGTTATCTGTATAGTAAAATATAGTCAAGCTTGTTTTAACTTGTATCGAATATCAACAATGCTTTATATTGATTATTTAATGTTGTTACTTTGTGTACAGCCTCTGAAAAAACAAAGTATTCATGCTGCTGTTAAATGTATAAAAAAAGTTATTGTTTTAAAGTTATTTGTCATTCAGTATGAAAGTTCAAACAAATTATCTTTTTGGCTTCTCTGATTTATTCTGATTTATTGAATTTGCTGCTGTTATAGACAGAGGAAAAAAGATAATCCTCAGCTTCAGGGATTTTTTCGAGGAAGGAAGGATCAAATTTACATAAAAGAAAAAAAATCATACTGTTAAATGCTTTTCAGTAAATTCCTCTTTACTTAAAAACTGTAATATGTATCTCTGGTAAGTCCTGGGGTCACTTTAATACTTATTACAAGAGCCTTCTTCTTATGACAGTTCTAGTAGGGATGCCCATAGTTTGAACTCATGGGGTAATTAGCTGCTGCAAATATTTCTACTAAGAATAAGACATTTTTTTTCAATACCAAGAAACCTTTCTTTTAGTTTTTTGTTTTAATCTGAAGTGCACAGAATAATCAATTCAGGATCTTTTAAAAAAAATTGCAGGTGTGAGTGGTGTTACTGGTGTCATAACAGCCTGTGTATTCCTTTGGGATTTCACAGCCTTTGATTTCTGTGTACAAATAAACTAGAGCTCTGCTAAGGATGGGATGCACTTGTGGTTTGGGATGGATTTGCAAAGGGTGTTGCTCTATACAGGATTTTAGGATGTATACAATCCTGGTAGGTAGTTTGGTCCTGCTTAGTCCTATAATGAGAATATGTAACGTGGTACATAATGACAAATAATTGTATCTTGTGGTGATATCTTTGTAGAGTAAATAATTCTTCCCTATATCTATGGAATTGCATTAGCATTGCAGGTGTATTGAGCTGGAATTGCTTGACCCAGAATTTTATCAGTATGTCAGAGATACCAGGAGATTTGGAGGTGCATCAGAACTGCAAAGTAGCATTGCTGCAGCAGAATGTAAACCCAGTACATGCTGGTGGTTGGTAAAAATAAAAACTGCTCATGCTGTCCTCGTAAATGCTACTCGTATTTGTTGAGACTATCGACATGGAAAACACTTAATGAAGGTGATTGTTTTTTCCTCTGTCTTTTTTAACTCCTTTAATACCTTTTTCTCCTTTAATATCTTTTCCAGTTCTGGAATATCTGTCCCATGGAGGATATTCTGACTCGTCTTGAGGTGGATTCACGGCCCGTGTCCCGGCGCATAGTGAACCTCCTGTTCAACTCCTTCTTTCCCACCAACCAACCCGAGGACGTGTGGTGTGAGCGCTGTGTCACTCTCATCCAGATGAATCCAGCAGCAGCCAGAAAGTTCTATCAATATGCTTATGAATATACTGCCCCCACCAATATAGGTAAAATACAAAACCTTATGAGTTTTCAAAGCTTTTCGTTTCTGCTCTTAGGTGCAGTACTGTCCACTCCAGCCAGGTCTCTCTGCTCCCCGTTCTCCTCACATGCAGCATAAAACTCTCTCAGTTGATATATATTTCTCATGTAGAAATAATGTAACAAAATACCCCTGTGCCCTAAGTGATTTGAGATCTTCATGTGAAAGATTCTATAGAAGCTGAAAAATATTTATGTCTGGTAATCTGATTGTCTGGGATTTGCGGATCAGTATTTTCAAGTTGCTCGGAGAAAATCTGAAAAGCCTTCCTTTCGTTTAAAAGCTTCAGAAAGTTTCAGGGAGAAGGGCATGTACTGCACAGAATGTTGCTCCTTTTCAGAAAAGTGCTGTTGAACCAAGTAAAATCAGGCAAAAACTACTGATAAAAACCAAGTAGTCAGCGTGAAGTGATTGGGTGAAATGCCCAAGCTGTGTCCTCCTGACTGATTACCTTGGTAGGGGAGTTAGAAATCACATGATTATGAAATCAGCTGGTTGTACTTTCACCAGAGTGGGCATAACCCTTCCACTTTATCTAGAGCGGAGCTCCTTGTTCAGGAGGGCGATGGTTGGGCTACTACATCTTTTCCAAATAATGGGAATTGCCATAGGATGGGATGTGTTCTTGAATGTAGGTCATTAACAGCTATTCCAGATGAAGGTAGGAGCTGTGGGAGCTTCCTCTGATCCAGATTTGATAAGGTGGTGGTTGGTTTTGGGGTTTTTTTTAGTATATTTTTTAACCAGTAAAATTATAGAACCTGATGGTAATGTTACCATTTCTTCTTCATACTTGAGGATGTAAAACATGTTCACATTTTTCCATTTCTTTTACAAGGAATGTTTCTCCTTTTTTTCCTAGTTATTTCTGGTTCTGCTGCCTGCTTTTACATACTGGCTTTCCGGCTTTATAATTAGAAGCATTTATTAGCAACATTGTTAAAAATAGTACATTTCTAATCTATTCTTATTCTCTTTAAATGTAGCTAAATTGATGCTCACCATTCGGCGCTGCTTGAACGCCTGCATCCAGAAAGCAAGGAAGGAGAGTCTGGGTGATAGTGGGGAGGATGACAATGATGAAAGCGAAAAGGAGAACACAAGTGTAAGAAAGTCCACTTTATGCTAAGTTCTAGTAACTTGTTTTTTTCTGCGTTGCTTCACCTGAGGCATAGGCAGTTAATGATATGACAGAAATCTAAGGGAAAGCCCTTAGGCATCTGTGGAATTAGAAGGGGAGAATTGCCATTATCATGTTTTCATGTCCTGCAATAGCAGAAATTTGGTGAAGCAGATAGGATAAAACAGAATGAATATGAAGCACCCTAATTCCAGTACTAATTATAAATTGGTTTGATTTTGCAATTAAATTGTTCAAAAAAATACCATTGCAAGATATGTGAAGTTAGAGAGAGTAAGACTGAATTGTGGAGTTCATGTTCTACAGCAACCACAATACCTTTGTAAAATGAATAGAAGGATTTTTCAGGGCTTTTTTGAAACCTTATTTTAACTTCAATTTATATTTAAGAATATAATAGGTAATATCATCTAAGTGTTTGTATTTCAGGTGTTGGATAATGTGTTGTCCATAAATGATGTGGCCAGCATGGCAAGTTTGTTGGAGATTATTGTAATTCTCTGGAAAAGTATCTACAAAGCACTAGAACACAATGAAGAGGTCAAAGATTATGCTATCAGGAAATTTGCTTCTGTACTTCCTGAATATTTTAAAGTATTTAAGGTAAAGAAAGACTTGGTTTTCTTGCATTTTCTTAGTTTTTTCTTCAGATGCTTTCATGTTTTATATCTTTTATCTACTTTTATAGGATGAAGTATTCTTTTTCATTGTTGCTATAAACCATAAACAATAGCAAGTTTCTTGGAATTCTACAAATGGGTACGAGCTATTCTCCATTTGCAGTGTCTGACTGATGAGCCATTATCTAAATAGTCAACTCAGAAATACTTATGCAATAAATTGCTCTCCTTGTAAGATTTTTCTTGGATTCTGTTCTTTTGAATGTTTTTAGAACTTTTGGAAAACAGTAAATGAAAATGTGCCATTGCAGTATAAATACTCAGTGTATGTGAGAGTCCATGTGTTTTTCTACCCACTGCCCCCCAAACTCTTCCACCACCATTTGTTGTCCCAGCTGCTGCAACAGACACCTGAAGCAGCTGAGGCTCCTTTTTCACTGGACATGACCCAGCAATGTGCACTCACAGCCCAGAAAGCCAGTTGTGTCCTGGGCTGCATCCAAAGCAGGGTGGGCAGCAGGTCGAGGGAGGGGATTCTGTCCCTCTGCTCTGCTCTGGTGAGATCCCACCTGGTGCTGCCTCCAGCCCTGGGGGCCTCAGCACAGGATGGATAGTGAGCTGTTGGGGCGAGTCCAGAGGAGGCCACCAAGATGATTAGAGGGCTGGAGCACCTCTCCTAGGAGAAAAGTCTGAGAGAATTGGGATTATTCAGCCTGGAGGAGAAGGCTTTAGGGTGACCTAATTGTGGCTTTCCAGTACCTGAAGGGAGCCTACAAGAAAGATGGAGATGTACAACAAACAGAATGTAGTGACAGGACAAGGGGGAATGGCTTTAAACTGAAGGAGAATAGGTTTGGATTAAATATTGGAAGAAATGTTTTACTGTGAGGATGGTGAGACATTTGCACAGGTTGCCCAAGAGAACTTGTGGCTGCCCCATCCCTGGTGGTGTCCAAGGCCAGGCTGGATGGGGCTTTGAGCAGCCTGGTCAAGTGGAAGGTGACCCTGCCCATGGCTGGGGGTTTGGAACTAGGTGATCTTTAAGGTCCCTTCCAACCCAAACCATTCTATGATTCTCTGGTTTTTGCTAATTTGAATCTACTCTCTAATAATCTATTGATGCACTTATTTATTGTTTGGGTTTGATATAGGCAATTATTTAAAATCAGTCATTTTCAGATTTTCAGTCTCCTTGCTCTATTTAACTGTTTTAGTGTTATTCTTGAGGAGGATACTGTCTTTTGAGCTGGCTAATAGTGTCTGCTGCACCTGGAGTGCATTTGGAAGGATTACCTGCTGGATATCTGTTTTTCAGTTGGTGGCTTTTGTGCTGAATATACTGAGTAATGTTGGCTGTTATACTTTAACTTTGCATTAGATAATGAAGGAGTGAAAAGCAGTTCATTGCTATGTCATATTCTGCAGCACAGATATACCAAATGCTCTCTCTACCCTGAAAGCATTTGGAAGTTGTCACAGACATTCCAAACCTTTTTTTGGTAGAGGATGTAACATCCCTCCTGAGAGAGAGGCTCTAGTGAACAGCAAGATATCCAGCTGTAGCAATCAACCTCTTTGATGTTGTTAGAGTGAGTAAGCAGCTTGGATCTAAAAGAACCTCTCATCAGAGGCTTAGTTTCTAAAAGAATTACAGACTGAAGCAGCCTGTCTCTTTCCTGAAAAAGCTACATTTTAAATGTTTTTTTAAAAAATATGAGTTTTGAGAAGGTTTAGAACTTGGAATGTGTAAGTAGGTAGTAATTTCATTTGACTGTTTTCATGAAGCTGGGGCATACAGATACACAATTTTTGAAGTCTTTAACATAAATTGGTTTCTGTATAACCTGAGATTATGTCATGGCCTAGACTGCGTGTTATGACACGTTGTAATGAATAACAGTGCATTTAACATTACCATTGTTGTATACACACTCTTTCCTTTAGAGTCTTTTTCAAAAATTTGCCATGTGAATGAATATTCATTTTAAGGCACTGGTTCCTTGAGAGGAGTTAGGTGGTGTCATGGTTGTGCAATTAAACATTAGTCATTGCTGGAAAAAAAATGTAATGTAGAGTTGGTAGTTCTTTTGCAATGGTTATGAATCTAAGAGAGCCATAATTATTCATGGTAATTATTCTGGCAGTCTTTCAAAAAGCTGAATGATAAGGTAATTGATAGTTGACCTGAGAATAGGAATCACACCTTTCGATTGCAAGCCACATATTGTTATAAGCTTCTTTCAGTTCCATTTATAATGAAAAAAGGGAAATCCTTAATTTGAGAAAATCTAATCATACTTTTGCAGTACTCTCTTTAGTTTTGTGGGCCTGTGTGTACCTGGACCTGTACCTCATACAGTGTACTCTTCTTTTTATCCTAGGACGAGCGTTGCGTGACTCCATTGGTTATTCTGGCATCCTTTATGCCCATTGCTGCTGTTCCTACATTCAGGTACTATTTTGAAATACAAACTATGAATTACATGAAATTTCTTGTTGACTGTGTTTGCTAATGTTTCACAAGCTGATGTATTAAGTGCCCATTTGGATAAATTAATCCACTAAAAAATGTGATAAGTTAGCAAAATTTGTGATGTGCAAGTATGTCTGAGCCATTGGTGAATCTTTTTTTTTTTTTGTATTACACCAACTGATTTTCTTTGGATTTTTCTGCACTTAGTGGATGTAAAGCTAACACATCTCTTTTTGTTTGTTTTCTTTTAAGCTGTGGTGTGATTTCCAGACTCAGAAATATTAACAACGGAGCTGACCAAAGCAAATATTCTACCCTGATCGACTGCATGTGTTGCTGGGGTCAAGTGGGGCGTATTATGGAATTAGCCTGTGATTGGTTGTCTGACACACTGACCCCAAGAAAGGTGTGCATATGCATAGGTCAAAGAATTCAGGAATTGCAAGATTACGTAAAGGCGTCGTGCATATTTATTTTTAATAGAATGAGACATTATAAATGTTACTCTGCTTTGAAATTTGTTGTAAAGTACTAACTTTAATAAATAAGTAAGTAAATAAGTATAAACAAAATACTAACAACTATCTGTTGTAAAAATACTAACAGTATTGCACTGGTTTTGTGCTTCATTCTTATTTAGAACGTTAAAACATCTGGGCGCCGAGTGCAGCTCCACGTAACACAGGAATCAAAACCAGAATTGGCAATTGATTACCTCGACTATTTATTGACTCATCCTGTCAATCGTGACTGCCTCCTTTCTGTTCATAAAAAGAAACTGAAGAAACTTCTGAAAACCCTCAGTGCTGCAAAGGTGGTATTCTCCTGACCATAAGCAGTGCTTATCAAAGAATGCTGAACGTCGTATATTGCCCGAGTCAAATTAAAGGCATACAAGAATAAATAAATAACATTCATGATCCCCTCTCCCTCTGTAAAAAGGTTTTCCTACTATACTAGAAGTATAGTAGTTAAGGATTGTGTATAGATGGCAGATTTTAACCAGCTTGTCAGTTTTAGGTGTCTCAACACTTTTGTGATCTAGTGATGAGTGTTTTTAAGGGACCTGACTTTTGGAATATACGCATAAGAAATAGTCTGAAAATCAGTTATGACACTGCAAAGTGGAATAATTGAAAGTATGCTTGTTGCTTTTTTGGGTTTGGTGATTTCTTGTTCTTATTGTTTTCTCATTTGGTTTTTTTTTTTTACTGTTTAAAACTTTTGAGAAAAGAAACATTTGAAAGGATTTTCTGAAAAATATAAATGTAAACCTTTATATTTCAGAGGGTTCTTGGCTCAATCCTTAAAGGAACTAATGCAGATTCTGGTAGCTGGAATCAAGCAACTAGTCTAAGAGCCTTCAGCCTCTTTTGCAGATTGAGTATTCATCTTCAGCACAAGGTATGGTTGTAGCTTTCAGAATAATCTGGAAATTCCAAAATAACTGGAAAGACAATTGGTAAACCTTTTTTCTTTTTTTTCCAGTTTTCTGGAGAAGGAGATTGCCTCTCGCTTTTGAAGGAGACAGGTGCTTGGATAGAAAGTCAAGTTGTACCTTTTATACTATCAAGTGATCAAGAGGATGGTATTTCAAAACACAGTAGTGTTTCTGAATTAATTATCCAGGTTAGAGGATTCTTATAACATAAATCAAACAGCTACCAATCTGAAAAGGTACAAGTGTAGCAACTGGTGTGCTGACAAACAGGGCACTGGCCTTTGTGGAGCCCAGCAAGTGAAAGAGCTAATGAAACACAGTCCTAGTTGTTCTGAGGTTACAGTTTTGTGCTTTTGCTATTTCCTTTGTGCTTAAAATCACACACTTTTTTTTCTTTAAATCACTTTGAGTTATAACCTTTATATTTTATAAATACATAATTTTGCATATCCTAGCAATTAAGTCAAGTAGCTGGTATCAACCTTGTTCTTACCTAGATTTTTTTTTCATCTCCCAGTGCATAATATATATTCTCATCATATCTGTTGAAGTGAGGATGGAACAAGGTTGATGTTTTACACTTGTATAAATGCCCACTCAAGAAATTTCTAGCACGTTCTAGAACATTCCAAATTTGAGGTTTCTAACAAGTAATTCTTGTCTTCAGTCTCTCATGCCCCATAAAGATCTTTTCCAACTTAACCTGTTCTATGAATCTATGTTTGCTTCCTTGCTTTCCTCCTTCCTTTCTTTCCTTTCTGCTTTCCCAAATGAAATAATTAAAATTATAATCTGAGGAATTCAGTATACTTCATTCTAGTGCTTTCAAAAGTTTGGAGGCACAGAACTCAACTTTATTGAAAGGCAAGACAAAAAATAGGGAATCTTTACCAGCATTACCAGAATGTTTATGATGAATTTCCTAGATTTGAATAAAAAACAAACCCAAAACTTTATTGATAAGCAAAAAGAAAGGCTGATGGTCACTGGTAGACCCATCTCACATATTGCTTGGCTAACCAACAATGAAACACAACAATCTTTGCTAGTAGATCTTAAAGTTTGGTTGCATCATTATTTCCAGAGGAGAAACTGAGTTGTGAGGACTGATGTGACTTGTCTGGAAGTCAAGAAGAGAATCCAGGCCTCTTGCATCTCCTGTAAAAAACCACATGCTTGTTAAGCAGCTTCTATTTGCTTCTCACCTTCTGTACTGTTTTTTATTAGAATGAGATATTGATTGTGCTTTTTAATTGTTTGGAGTGTATACTTAGTAGCAATGCTGGCATTAGAAGCAGACTTATTGTATGCTACATGGATTTTTTGAGAAAAACTAATTACAGTTCCTTCTTTAATACTGTTGTGTATGTGAGAGGATCAGAGTGTCTCTTCTTTTCGCACCTACATTTCTCTCTGACTTTCCCTGTGAAACATCCCGTTCTTTCCCATTTCTCCCTCCTTGTCTGCTTGGTTTGTTACTCAGTTTAGCACTTAGTGCTCTGGGCAGGGATTCACTGAGGGGCTGTTTTCTTTAGGCCACTGATTTGCTGATGTGTTGACTGTGGGGCTGATAGAATTTCTGACTCAAACCCCAGTGTCATCACTTCCAGTGTCTCTGGAATGCCCCTCACTGATCAAAAATCATTTGATGATATAATGTAGGGGGTTTAGCTAGTTTTCAATTGTTTTCTGTTACATCCCTCCCACGTACCATTTCATCCAAGGTGGATTTTAGCACTGAGCTATGGGTTCTTTCAGATTTTGGTGAAAGGAAAGGTTTGGCTAACTTTAGTCACTGTCAGTGTCCTTGAACAGCTCAGCTCACATGTACACAGACTGGTTAAGAGTTCTCTGCTCTGTACATTTGTATCATAATCTCTTTACAATGTAACATCTCTGTGTCTGTAGGGAAAAGCTCTTTTTCTGTTCTGGCTTCTGCTATTCAGGACAGGTGGGGATGTCACATTCTGCCTCAGTAAATGTTAAGTATCAATGTCTCTGATCTGAGCCTGAGTAAAAAAGATAGAGGATTTACTGCCTTTTGAGAAACTGGTTACTGGAGGAAAGGGCAATGGAAACATTTGGAGAACTGGCCGGAATTCCTGCTTTTCAACAGGTGGGAACAGAGTAACTCCAAGTAGATAAACCAGCTTTCAGGGAAACTTGGCTAGCAGTTTGTGGTTTTATTTTTAGGTTGTACTGAATGGTTACTTTATATAAATTTTGGGTTTCATATGACTTTGCATCTCTCTTCTAGGCCTACCTGACAGTATGTAAAGATGTCATAATGGTTGGCCTTGGAAATCTCACGTTTCAAGCACATGTTCTAGATATGGCTCTTCCAATTATACAGACAGGTACCATATTTTGTACTAATATCAACATCTTCATTTATACTTAGCTGACTTATATTGGCAGTTTTAATCCCTAACCTTCAGTGATTGGAGGGAACACTGGATTCATACTTAAAATATTAACTGTACTGTATGGAAATTTCAGCTAAGGATATTCAGAAATTAAATATATTGTCTACACTTGTAAACTATCACTACTTGTTGTATATAACTGAGTTTCATTCTAAGCTTGTACCTGAAAAATATTGCATTACAACTGTGGTATTTATCTTTCTCTAGAGAGAGGTGGCTTATGTGCTCCAGTATTGCTGTGTGCTCTAAAAGAAATTGTTGAAGCTTCTTTAACTCAGAATACTGAGACAGATGAAGTGGCAAATCTTTTCCACACTGTACAGAACGTCTTGCAGAAAGTTTTGGAATGTGTGGCACATAGACTCAAGAAACAGCAGGAAGAAGGGATTCAGGTATCATATTACAGTTGAAATTGCTACTTAATATGTAGATGAATCCATACTTTTTATACAAATGTGTTATACTTAGGCACTTTGAGGCTGTTGCCTCACTATTACCTACTGTTTGAGTAGACATGATTAAATTTTTCTGTGATTAAATTTTCCTATTAGTAGGGTTTTTTAATCCATTTTGGTTTTATCGTGACTGAAGAACTAGTAAACTGAAGAACAGTGTGTTCTGTTGCAAATTATCCTGGACTGTGCTAATCCTTCTAGGCTGTTAATCTTATCTGCAATTAAATGAACTCTCTCAATCCAGAACAAAGAATTTGTTTATGTATATGTTATGATCTTGACAGTAATTATATTTCTTTCTTTCAGCTTGCATGATATCAAGTTCAAAATATGTATGATGCCCTAAAAATCTTCAAGATCTCACATCTTCACAGAAAAGTTAGCTTCTTTTTTTTTACAGCAGAGAGCAAATAGATCACTCTGAAAAATTTGATGATCTGCTTTTCGTGACTTCTGAAAATCACTCAGTTCCTTTTTGCTACAACCATTGTTTCGTTCATTTCTCTCTCATACTCAAATTATGAGTAGACTTCCCAAACATTGTTGATTCTGCCTCTGATCCCAAGTGACTAGAAGATCTCAGAAACTTTCAAGGTGTGGTCTGCACTCCTTCACAGAGAAGCTTGCTGAAATATTTCAGTTATACTCAAGCAATCTGAAAAAAGATTTGTTTTTCTTTTTGGTTTTAGTTGATTCACGCTATTCAGATGCCTCTTGGAGAATTCATTCACGCACTGCAGTGCTGGCATTCATCATTCCCAGCAGTGCACCAGGGTGTACTCTCCACTCTCCTGGCTGCAGTAGTAGCAGACATAAATTGTGTGCTACAGATGGTAAAGTTAATCCTGACTATTTTTAATTTTCTTATTTTATACTTACTGCTTTTTGAACATTCTGTTGGAACAACAGAGCTATATCTAAAAGGTTGATCTTTGTACTGCAGATGATGATTTGTGTGTGTTGGCATGGAGCAAACAGGAAATTTTATTTGCCATAATTTCATGTTACAGTTCATCTCTCAGATTTATGACTACAGCTGTATAGGAACAGAGTTGTCTTGATACCTCGTTCACTATTTGCCTCTGACAGAAGAATCTGGAAACTGGGCAGTGTTGGACATTAACAACATGGTTTTTGAGATATTCCTTCTATGTGTTTTTGTGCTGAGTCTGGCTGGGAAGGAGTCAACTTTCCTCCCAGCAATCCCTGTGGTGTTGTGGTTTGCATTTGTGGCTAAACCACTGTTGAGAACACACAGTTAGTTTGGGCTGTTGCTGAACAGTGCTTGCTGAGTGTCAAGGTTTCTCTGTTCCCTCCACCCCCATCCTAAAAAAAAAGGCAAGCAGGCTGAGGATGGGGAAGAGGCTGAGAGGGGACACAGCGAGGCAGTTGACCTGAACTGATCACAGGCTTATTCCACACCAGGCAATGCTGTGCTCAGCAATAAGAGCTCAGGGAAAGGAGGAAGAGGACAGGAGCTTCTAAACGTACCTCACTTCATCTCACCCAGCATTAGGGGACTTTGGAAGTGAGCCGCTGATCTCTGACAGATTCTAGTTCCTTGGAACTGTCCCCTAAGGCTCAGTAATCCTGTTCCAAAGCAGGCTGATGTCCTGCTTGGCACTGATCACTTCTGTATTCTGTGCTTCAATATAGAGGCACTTCTCATACTGCATCCTTTTTTTGATTCCTTTCAATTTTGTCTAGATGATTTCCAAATATCTGAATTTCTTTGGAAAGTAAAGAAAGAATCTCTAATTCTGAAAACAATATATAGACAGAAATTGTTTTATGTTCTGAAAGTCCAAGGAACCATTACTGTCCTTGAAGGAGAAGGGTGTCATTCCCAATGCATTTCCTAATGCATGAAGTGTTAGGAGCAAATACAATTAGTGAGACTGGAAGCTTTGAGAACTAAGAAGGAAGAGCAGAGGCTCTTTAGCAGAGGCTGTGCTTTTGCTGTGGTTGCTGGATGTGTCACAAATATAGCAAGAAACAGTTGCCAGAAAGTACTGAGTACAACAGAGCTGCTTCCAAGGTCCTGTGTTCCATGAGGAGCTGAGACAATAGCAGATGTTTACCTGCAGACATGGATGTATCAGCTGGGGGGCTGTGGGATGACAAGTGCTCTTTACAGATGATGCAGAGTAAACATTTAGGGGCTTGAATGATACTGGAGATTCATACTCATAAATTATGAGTGTTCATTCCAGTCATTCATCTGGGCTGAGGTTTTTGCTGCCCCCATGTCATTGTAATAGTAAATCAAAAAATTCAGTTCTAACTAAATATTTACCATGCTATTCAGAACTTGATACCAAAAAGAGCAGGGATTCAGGAAATCACTGTCACCAAAGTTATTTTTAGAAATCAGGTATGCACACTTTAGCTTGGAGCCACAGAAGGTACTCAGTTGTGTTTAATAGGCTGTGCCTATGTAGTTAAATGCAACTTCTAGTCAGAAAAACTGTAGAGAATATTTGCCTTGGTACAAATACTGTTTATGTTGTTTAGTTTTACTCTTTTCAATTTAAATAAGTTTTGTTTATTTGGACACAACACAGTTGGACTAAAGCTATTCAAAGAACACTTGTGAATGTTCCAATTATTTCAGGATAGGTCTTGGTTAGTGTAATTATTGAAATACAGGCTTGCTTCAGTGTTTTCTGCATACATATATTTCTTGATCTGCAACAGTTGCTGACTTTTTTCTTTTTAGGCTTCCAGTGAAAAAGATGTCACTATACCAAGGACTGTTTCAGACCTTCCCCCTCTTTCAAGCAGTTTAATGGCCATAATTATGAAGTCAGTTAATGTTGTCAGGTAAATGTTTCTATATTAATTTGTCCAAGGTTGTTGCTAAGGTAGAGCAGTTTATAGGTTGTCTATAAAGTTTTAATTTATAAATTTTGAAGAACTAGTTGCTTATTAATTTTACCTGGACTGCTTTATAATCCCTTTCTCTTGACATATTGCCTGTAGGTATTGATTGCTGAGTTTTTTTGACCAAGAGTACTTCTTATATACAAGATTGTTTATCCTAAAGAGTTCTTTCATTGTACATCTTGGCTTGCTTCTTTCATAAGATACTTATAAACATTAGTCCCCTCAGTACAGAGGTATTTAGATGAGATAAAATATTTACCAGAAATAGAATTAATCCTTTAATTGAACATCTGCAATGAGGTGATATGTATTAAAGTCACAACATTCAAAATAAAGTATCCTGAGTCCTAAAAGCCTCCAAAAGTAAGGCTAAACTTAACTATTGGGGTTTTTAATTGCTATATTTAGTGGGGCCCTGAATATGTTCTAAAATTGTCACAAGGGAATTTCATTTTGCTTGGTTTGTTCATATTCGATTTTTATTTACATGCTTATATACACTAGACTTATTTTAAATGATAAAGGGGCTTAGAAGTCCTTTCTTTCTCCCTGATTTACCACAACTAATTCCTATTCTTAACTTCCTAATCTGAGAGGCAGTGAATATCCCTCTCTTCTGTCATGAGGTGTTTTTTTTTTCTCAGTCCTTCTCTAGTTCTAGTTGATTTTGCAAAACAAAAGACTCCAGAGTCCAGCAACAGTCCAGCTAATTATCCAAATCTTGAGGCAGCAGCTGCCCATCAAGGTGTTGTCTTTTAGTGAAAAAATTATTTTACACACCTCTTTTCAAAAGAGATTCAGAAAATCAATTAATTCTTCTGAAACCTTTTCTTGTAGTGGTCAAAGAGTTTCTTGTCCATTCTTGATTTAGAAAACTGCAAGTTTGGACCAAATTGTTTCTATGAGTACTTTGGAAAACATGCATCTACTAGTATTTATCATTTTGGTGCAAAGAGGATCTAAGTTAGGAGATAATTTCCATCTGTTTCTACTGGTGCCTCAGAAGTGAGACTACTTTTAAGGCTGTATTCTTTTATAAATCTGTATTGATTGACCATAATCAGAGTCCAATAGTATATTATTCAATATCTCAGAAATCTTTATGTCAACGGGAAAGTCTTTGACGTTTTGAAATCTGATGTGAGCTTTAGTGTTCTGGGAGCTTTAGTGTTCTGGGAGCACACCTGCTCTGAGTTCTGCAGCATCTGTTGTAGCTTCAGTACTAATCAGTCAGTCTCTATCCTTGAATTTCAGTGCCCATAGCAGGGATAATACTGAGAGTCTTGGCAATATCTGGCCAATTGTGCGAGTGTCCTTTCCAGGGAACTATCTGTGTAGGAACCAATTACTTACCTCTGTTGCTTATATGTATTTTTAAAGAGCTTATTGTTCTGTTCTATTTTATCTTTGCCTGCAGGCTCATGTGACCCTTTTTCAGAGGGAGGTGGGGAAAGGCAGCTGCAGTGAGTCTTATTACAGGTTAATGAAATTACAGTGTTCCTTCATGGAGCTACAGAGTGTGCTTAGTGACCCAAACAGTGATAACAATGGAATCAGAGCTCTGATCCAAGGACTATCAGTTGTAATTTAAGAGCAATATGAAATGGATTCAGTGTTTGGTCAGATTGGTCCACAGAGATATAATAAAACTGATGCAATACATGAGCAACTTCATAATGGTTATTTCTGAACCTAAAGAGTTCTCATCTTTTTCAGCTTTTAGAAGCAATATTTGAGCTTCTGCAAAGCTTATTTACTGCATTGGTTCTTAACTGCATGTTTCATTTTGATATCTTAGCACACTAAAAACCTGAAGAACAATTGAAGTCAGAACTGGCTATTTATGGTGTTCCATTTTGGTAACATAATAATATTGCTAAAGTTATTTTGAAATATATTAGGGAAAGTTATTACAACTCTCTGTTTCCCCTTTAATTCTTCACAGAGCATTTAGCTTTGTGCTCTGAGGAGTATGAGGATTACAGATCTTATCCATCTCCTGCTTTATCCCTCTTGTTCTTTTATTTTTCTCTGGGTTTGAGAATGCTTCTGAGTTAAATTTGTTATTTTTACCATAAACACTAATGACCAATTAGTGTTTGCATTCTGTAGTATTGTCTTATTCCGTATTGCAGTTTAATTTGGTTGCTAGACCCCTTCTGTGACTCCCTTGTTTCATTTTTCTTAGCTTGACATATGTCCCAAAACACTACTAGAGTTTGCTGGTAATACCTTCATGTCTTACTAAAAGTGAGTCTCTTAAGATACATATTGAGATACATATTTATTTCAGATTTGGCAATGAACAGTTGTCATGGTTCTGTTACTCTGTCCATACTTTCAATAACTAAAATGTTGTTTGGAAGTGTTTCAGGGCTATATTTAGTTATAAATGATCTGCACTTGTAATTGTAATTGGAAATCCATCTATTTTAATACATTTTAAGTCAAAGTGTTAATTCAGCATGAGTAGTTACTAACAAACCATTGGAGTCATAGAACACATTTTTTAAAACTTTGGTTTAATTCAAATTAGAAATTTCAGTACCAATAATGTGAGATAAATTTCAGAAGACTGGTAGTTTTTTCATGGATTGACTTTTCTGAAATGTACTATGAGCTCTTCATTTCTCTTAACAACTACTTTCTGTTTACAAACTTTTTTATTTTCTTCTCAAGTAATTCACCATTCTGCTACCTCTGATATTCTCAGTTACCACATCACCACTGCTTTGTCCTGCATGGTGTCTCTGAAGCTCTGGTGGCAGGGGAGCATAATTACAAACATATTCTGTTCAGTTCTATTTTGAAACAGACTTGGATTATAATGTATTTTCGTGCTTTTTTTTCCTTAGGTCATTTTTAAATGAATTAATGGAATGCATCCTCTCTGAAGAAATTAAAGGGATTTTTAGTCTAACAGCTTCTGTCAGCATTGTGATGATAATTAAAGGTCAGTCAAAGCATCTTTGTCTTTTTATATGTTACATTTTGAAAGATGAGTTCTCACAGGATTTAAGGTTGTATCACTTGTAAATTGTGTTTACAACTGTCTGCAGACTCATCGGGTTCATCTTTTTATCCTCATTTGCTGAAATGCACAGGACAGTGAGAATCTAATTTAGTATCTAATATTTCATTAAACGATCTTTTATGTTAAAAATATTCTATTAAAATCTACAGGGGTGGGGTTGTTGGGTTTTTGGGGTTTTTTTGATAGATCGTTATTTTTGAAATCAACATAACCTTATTTCAAATAGGTAAGAACAAACCTGCACTTGTAAAGGATGTTGCACCTGCCCTTCGAGGGAAGCTGATGGTGTGCAGTGAGGCCACAGAGGGATCCAGCAGCACTGAAAGGTAACTGTGCTGTGGGAAACCAACCCCAACCTCTGCCCTCCCCTCTCTGCAATAATTGGCTCTGTTCTGTACTTCCATAACTCCGCTGGAGCCTTGGGAATGATTGATTGTGAGGTTTCAAACAGTGGGGGGAAGAATGGTGGGGTATTGAGCCCAGCACAGTATGAAATATCCTGCCCTTACATCTGCTGTGATTGCAAGCTTTACATCTTTGCCTTGGGTTTTGTTCATTTAATTTGAACGTGTTATGACTTGATCCTGTATATTACAGGGTTCGGGTCTGAAATTCGGGTCTGTTCCAGCAGGTGCAGAACATAGCAAATAGTCTGGTTACTATTTCTTATTTCCTAGAGGATTATTCTCCCACACTTTGGCATTAGGCATGTGAATCCAAAGCTATGCAGATGGTAAAAATTGAACTGAATATAACAGTGATTTTGAGACCTTTCCACAGGTGATTTTATTTTGCTCTTTTTTGGGGGATATTTCAGTGTCATGCCTGGTGTATCTCTTTTGATAAGTTTTTTGAAAGTGATTGGCTACATTGTATTTGGAATAATTTATCTCAAACCTGCCCAAGACAGAATGATGACAAATGCTTTAGCCTTAAGTGTTCCAAACTCGCTTAAGCCTTGAAATTTGTGGACATTTGATTTCTGCCTAGCTGTTGAACTGCCCATGGAATTAAAAAGCGTGCAAAAAGAGACATTATAAGCACAGAGAATGTGAAGAAAACAGACTGTGGTTATGGGCGTTCATCCAAAATTACTGAGAAGGTTTGTGATGCACCACAGTGGCCTGAACGTGCAGAGGTCCTTGTAGTCTTTCGTTCTTCAAATTGATGATCCTTACTGTTCTAGCAAACAATGGATATGGACTAGACAGACTTTATAATAAAAATACAAACCCAAAAAAACCCCCAACAAGCCAAAAAGCTTCATTTACTCAGCAGTTTCTTACACAGCTTTACCAACCTGAGCACACTTCCCCAGTGCACTCTTCTGATGGATCCCTGGCCTGAGGCACATTGTTTTCTGGCATTTTAGTGACTTGACACAGGCCTTTGGTGGCTGAGCTGTGACTCCATCCAGAGGACAGAGCTGTGGGTCTGTTCCACTGCCTCAAAGAGGCCTACAAGAAAGCTGAAGAGTTGCTTGGCTGTGAACAAATGTCCTTTGGTTAGGGCTAGCTTAGAAACGAAACCAAACACAAATAAACAGAACTCAGTTTTCTTCCCAATGAAATCATTTAATGTTGGATTGCCAAGTGTCCTAGTTGAATATTTTTAAAAATAATAATAATTATCTGGAAAAAAAAGCTGAGCAGCAGGGTATTGTGATTCAGTTTGAGCTTCTTGTAATCAAGACAGTAGAAAATGCTGAGAAATTAAAGTGAATCTTAACATGATTAAATAAATAGGCACATTAAAATGAATAATTGCTGCCACTTGAGAGCACTACTGAGTATAAATTAAAATGAGAACACAGATAATTGCTTTATGAATCTATATGATCATCTCTGCCCATTGAACAGGGACAAATCAACATAGATATTGGGGCAGATGAAGAGCATAAGATGCCACACAGTGTTTTGATTTCCTGATATATGACTGGCTACCTTTGTGTAATATAAACCCAGAGATAGTTGCAGACAAAATTCAGAGGTTAGGAACATGAACATGATAGTGGGAAGACTTTTTAACAAGAATCAGAATTGCAATATGATGACAAAGTTCAGAAGCTATCATACAACTTTGTAGAATTTGGGAAGATTCTTATTTGTCTAGGCTTGTTGTGGATTTTGTCTCTCCAGAAGGGTAAAATAATTCATGCTGGCAAGAGGTTTGGAGGAAGTTCTGCAGTGATTAGGTTTTGCATGATGAATTAAGGTGTGTTTGCAGTTTCTCAGCTACATGGAATGTCAGACTGGGCTGGGCCTCTGGTGGCTTCTGACATGCCATTTGTAGTGCTCTGCTACTCATGTGCTAATGTACAACTAAAATGTGATTATACACAGTCTGAAATGTGCCCTGTTGTTTGTAAACTATTTTATCATCCTACTCCACTTAGCAAACACCAAAATTTTAGTTATGGTATGCTGCAAGCTAGGTCTCTGGTCATTAATTTGAAGACAGCCTTCTAACACACAGTGCTGCACTGCTGTGTCCTAAAATACATTACTGGGTTTTAACTCGTACTTAATACTATTATTATTTTTTGCTTCTGAATGCATTATCTCATAATAACTCCTTGAGGGATTATTTTATTTAATACCCAGGTATACCAGGAAATGGTGACATTCTTTAATTTCCCAAGAGACTTGGCATTCTGTGCCAGCATCTTAAATTTAGACTTAGAAGTAATCTATTACATATTAGCAATGAGAGAAAAAAGTAAAAAAAAAAAACCTGTCTGGTTTAGTAATTAAAGTGCTGCCCTTATACAAGGAATTGTTGCACTAATTTGGAAGCAAAAGTTTTCATTGTAATTTAGTCTTCCCTCTTCAGCTGAGTTAGTGGTTTCAGATGGCCCAGTGGGTCTATTATTTTAAAAATGCTGTTCAGTGCATTTAAAAATCCTGGACGACATATTGAACATTGAGAGAATTTCCTCAAGAGTAATGGCACACGCATTAGTTTAGTTTATAAAATGCAACTACTTATGCCTAGCAAAAAAACCACAGATGCAGCTGTCAATGCAGTCATTTGGAGGCAAGAGAAAAATGTCCCATGCTCTATAAAACCAAATGTCCTAGGATAATAACTTTTACTTAATACTGTGTATTTACATTAATTAGCATTTTGATATATGGGTATTAGAATTAGAATTATCTAATGGCTGTGCTGAAGGATATTTCTTTAGCATTACAATTTAGCTAGCTCTCAAACTCTTAATTGTGCTCCCATTGCATCTGTAAATAATGACTCTTGAATGGTTTTGGTATATAACTCTGGGTATGATTTCTCTGCCACCCACCTAAAAGTTCCCTGGAAAGGTACCTGGTAAAACTGCCTTAAACTTGTCTGTTTGGGGAGGTGCACAGTTATCCCAAAGGATGGCTCGTGGTCCAATGTGCCAGGGATACATGGTCCCACATTACCAATCTATTGCTTTATTAGCCTTAAATTGTAAGAAAATGAAATTTATACAAAGTAATACTTTGTCTAAACCCACAGAACCTACCTCATTATCCTAATTTTATAGTACATTGTAAATTGGTTTCCTTTCACATAGAATTTCATCAGGGCTTAAACACTGCAGCACAATAGAGAGGAGCACCTAACAGCACTGGGAATTTGGGGAGCCCTGACAGCCAATAGTCTGCTGTGGAAATGCAGAGCTGTCTCCTGCATGGCAGGTCTGTGTCTGGTGCTGAATGCCCTGACTTGTCGTGGTTAACAACTGACTAACTTGGCTCATTTGGGACATCAGGAATATAATAAAAACGTGGAGAAATAAATGCTTGTGAAATCCAAGTGACAGAATCTTTTACAAAAAACCCACGAAGAATCGTGTTTAGGGTTGTTAATAGCGAAATAATGTTTTGACAGAAGACCAAAGTGCCAAATTTTGCCTTTGAGGGTGTTTTAGAGCCGTGTTAGAAGATGTTGCGTGAGAACGCAACTGTGACGATGGGTGAGTGACATGTCAGGGAATGCCAGAAAAAAGCTGACCTTGGGGATGGTTTAGAAAATAATGTGAGACAAAAGAGTCAGAAAGGGACTAAGAGGGGTGTGGAGGCAGCTGAGGGAAGCAGTTGCTAATAAGGATAAGATAGAAAGCTCAGGCTTGGAAACAAGGTGACCAAGTGTGGAGAAAAAAGACAAAGACTGAAGAGTGAAAGGAAGAAAGTAAAAGAGTGAGAAGTGGTCAGTAAAGGACTTCACTGTGTTTGAAAAGAAGTAACAATGCTGTGAAGAAAATGAGTGGGTTCTTTAAATAGATGATGAAATATTAGAAAATATGCTTGAATTGACATAGTGATTTAAACCAGGCTGTTGTTGGTTACACTATAGACAGAGATGATCAGCAGAAAAATGGGGAAGTTGAAAGGAAAAGAATCCAGCTATTTCAAAAGTAATTTGTAAAGGCATTTTTAATATTTAAACTAATATGGACTAACTGGTCAAAGAAATCATGCAGTAGATGTACTCTAAGAATCAAATAGTTGAGGATTGATTTGGCATTTAGCATTTCTAATCCTGTTGTGTGTTTTTTTTATGCCATTTCAGATTGCTGTGTGAATCATCTCTGAAAATTTTGGATGAATTTTTAAATCCTTGTCCACGCCAAGGCTTTTGTCATGCAAATTAAAGGAAGACGTATTGCTTTTTAAAAAATATTATCTTGTAAAATTATGAATAAGCAAAGTTTATTTTCTGCTATGCTGTACATTTAAAGCAAGGAATATGTATAAAGGTGTGTATAAATATTATGAAATAGTAAAGACTGCTCAAAAGCTGCAAAGAATTTATTCTGTATAAAAGTGTCTTTGTGGGAGGAATATAAAATCAGTATTTTTGTATCTTTGTTTTTGAAAAACAAAATTAATTGTATCATAGATATTCTGAGACTGAGGTACCACCTCAGTCCCTGGGAAAACTGCAGAGCATACTCCTAGAGGTTTAGGAAATTAATTTTATTTCAAAACATGTGTGGGACAAAATGGTGATTGGGAATAGCTATTCTACCTAACCAGCCAGATTTCCCTTCCTTTTGTGGGAGAAGAGAGGGCAGAGAATGTCATGTTTCCTGTCCTTAGCAAAGACTTTTACACAATCTTATATAGATCCTTACAGCCAAATTGGAGAAAGATGGGATGGATGTATAGACATAGAAGATGGGTGGACAACTTGCTGGACCAACGGACTTGAAGGATAACACAGCCTGGAGTGAGATTTAACAGCGGTTGCTGTGGCTTTCCTCAGGGCAGACACTGGTGCCACTGCTACTTAACACTTCCATGAAGAGCTTGGGCACTGGGATGAACTGCAGCCTTGGGCTGTTGGCAGATGACACCAACTTGGGAGCAATGGCTGATCCCCAGGGCTGGGTTGTTCCGCTCAGTGGGATCCTGATAAGCTGGGCTAAGGATCAGCCAGTCTCATGATGTTTAGCGAAGAACATGGGCTCTTCTACCCACAAGGGGCTGATCCTGCACACCAGTGTAGGCACAGGGGAAAGGGCAGCTCACTGTGTCTGCACCTGCCTGGATGAGGACTAAGAAAAGACTTTTCCCAGAGGTGCACATGAAGAGAATATGAGGCAACTGAACCAACTTGCAGCAAGAGAATTTCTCGTTGGATGTAAAAAACAGTCATTATGAGAGTGAATTGAAACAGGAAATGGAACTGGAACAGGTTACTCAGGAAGGCTATGGAATACCCATCTATGGGGGTATTCATCCTTGGAGAAGTGCAGAACTTGACTGACAAGGGGGGCTCTGGCCATGCATTGTAGCCACACAACCCCATGGAGCACTACAGGTTGGGGACAGAGTGGCTGCAGAGCAGCTGGGCAGAAAAGGAGCTGGGGTGCTGACTGACAGCAGCTGAACATGAGCCAGCAGTGTGCCCAGGTGGCCAAGAAGGCCAGTGGCATCCTGGCCTGGATCAGGAACAGTGTGGCCAACAGGACCAGGGAAATGATTCTTCCCCTGTACTCAGCGCTGGTGAGGCCACACCTGGAGTGCTGTGTCCAGTTCTGGGCCCCTCAGTTCAGGAAGGACATTGAGGTCCTGGAGCAGGTCCAGAGAAGGGCAATGAGGCTGGTGAAGGGACTGGAGCACAAGTCCTATGAGGAGAGGCTGAGGGGAGCTGGGGTTGTTCAGCCTGGAGAAGAGGAGGCTCAGGGGAGACCTCATCAGTCCCTACAACTCCCTGAGAGGAGGTTGTAGCCAGGTGGGGGTTGGTCTCTTCTCCCAGGCAACCAGCAGTAGGACAAGAGGACACAGTCTTAAAATGTGTCAGGTGATGTTTAGGTTGGACATTAGGAGGAATTTCTTCACAGAAGGACTGATTGGGCATTGGAATGGGCTGCCCAGGGAGGTGGTGTATTCACTGTCCCTGGAGGTGTTTAAGAAAATACAGGATGTGGCACTTAGTGTCGTGGTCTAGTTGACAGGGTAGTGTTGGGTCATAGGTTGGACTCAGTGATCTCAGAGGTCTTTTCCAACTTAAGTGATTCTATGATTCTCTGTCATAGCTTTGGAATTAGCCCTGCTTTAGCTGGGGATTGGACCAGATTCTCTCCTGAGCTTCCTCCTAACTTGAATATTTGTGTGATTCAGTGCCTGGTACAGTGGAGGGGAAATGCCCTAGCTATTAAACATAGACTTGACTAATATATAAATTGCTTTATATTTAACTATTTTTATAAATTATAGCTATTTTTATAAATTAATATTAATGATGCAGTTAATGCAGACATCTAAGCCAGTTATTTAATTTCCTTCATGCAACCAGATGCTCTTCTAAGACCGAATGCCGATTGCACAGTATTATTTTGCCTTAACAGAGATACATGTAAATAACCTGTCTGAGCTCATGGGGTGGTTCAGCCCCAGCCAGAAACCAGGCACCACACAGCTGCTCTCCACCCCTCCTAGGATGGAGGCAGAACTGTAAGGATAAAAGTCAGAAAGAAACTCACGGGTTGAGATAAAAACAGTTTAATAATTAAGAAAAAATAACAGTATTTTTTTAAATTTTAAGGGAAAGAGAGGAAAAAAAAGGGAAATAAAACCACCCAGCCAGTGCCTAAGCAGCGGTTCCCCTGCATTTTCGCCTTCAGTTTATTGCTGACCATGATGTCCCATGGTGTGGGACATCCCTTGGGTCAGTTGGGGTCAGCTGTCCCAGCTCTGTCCCCTTCCAACTCCTTGTGCACCCCCAGGCTCCTTGGGGTGGTGTGAGAGGCAGAGAAGGCCATGGTGCTGTGTAAGCCCTGCTCAGCAGTGGCTAACACATCCCTGTATTATCAGTACTGTTTCCAGCACAAATCCAAAACACAGCCCCGTAGCAGCTACCGTGAAGAAACTTATCTCAACCAGAACCAGCACAGCTCCTAATGCCATAGTTTTGTCTGTTTTAGAAGGAGATTTAATAGGAACCTCCAGGAAACAATTCAGCCACAGATTGAAATAGCATTTGGTGACCAGCTTAGACCTGGACATATAACACTTGGTTACCTGCAATGAAGTGAAGTGGTTCTCAGTGTGGGCCTGTGCAAATGGATATTGAGGTCTCCAACGTTACTGAGTGGCACTGAAACAGGAGTTAACCAGTTTGGCCAAATTAAGACAGGCTCCTCACTCTTGATTAAGATCAGTGCACAGAGCTGTACCCCCATCTGTCTAAACAGGCGTCTGCTGAGCTGGTTTTCTTTCTCTGGTAAGAGAGTGTAAGATTATTTTCGAGGATCTGCTCTGTCAAGTGCAATGAATTACCTTCATCCTGTTTTTCGTCAGGTCCTTACTTGACCTTGGTACATAAAACTTCCCTACTGGATAAAAGCTGATTTAGCTGGAATGTTGATATTTAAAAGCAATAAGATTCTTAATAAACAACAGTCAAGCTTTGCAACAGGACAGTCAGTATGTGCATGGATTGACGAGTTCCAGATTTACCTCATCCCCAACAGTGGCCTGACCAAAAGGACTAATCCTGCCCCAGCAGGAAGCTGCAGTTCTGCCAACTGTTTATCTATCAACATCTTTATAAAAACTGTGTTCTTTGGCCTTCATTCTTCTACATCTGTTAACAGGCAGGTGTTCCGGTAATGACCTTTTAAATCTTCTGATTATACAAATTACTTAATGAATATGTAAATAAGTTCCTTTTTTTCTGCTTCTCAGTCTCTCAGTATTTGCTCATATTATTAGATGATAAAAGAATCCAAAATTACTGCCTTGTTTTTCCTCAGTGTATAATTTTGCTTTTTCAGTTTTCATGGGATTCATGTACAGATGTAATATCCCTGCATCTGAAAGAAATAAAGGTCCTTCCATCAACATCAGAAATATGCAGATTTCTTCTGAATAACTCAGAGGTGATACTGCTAGGAAGGGTAAGAAAATTTAAAGATAAGCCTTTGTCCTCCTGGCTGGTGCTCAAGTGGTTCTCAAGAGTGTTGAAATCATTTTCTTTTAGTTGTGCAGCTGGTATACAGATTTCAGCTCAATTTCTACTCCAGCTCTACTATAACTGCTCTGACAAGGAAAAACATTGGCTTTCTGCAACACAAATAATGATGTTCTCGGAATTCCTTGAGCCAAGGTCTGTCAGGGCTTTCTCGTTAGGCCTTTGTGGCAAATTTCACAAGAATATCGTAGCAGTTCTAGGTTTTACTTGCTGTTCTCATTGCAGAGTTTAATCTTGCAAAATTTTAAATCTTTACATTTTCCTTCTGCTTGGAAGATGTAAATAAATAGGATGTTTCTTAAGCTAAGTTACTTTTTGTAAACCTGTAGAACAGATTTGTTTCATCTTGTTAATCAGAAGTGCTATTGGGGAAGAGGTGCTGTTCTTTGGGTTTTGTTATGGGATAACCTTGGCATTCAGCCACACAATCCTAACTGTACATCTGAAAACTGCCCCTAATCTTAAAACAGACTCTTGAGATCTCTTCAGCTTTTTCAGGAAGTTGAATCTGACTTTGATTAATAAAATTACTTGAAAAATGGGCAAGAAAACACCATTCTAAGATACTCCTTTGAGCAACTGGCATTGGCAGTCACTGGTAACAAGGAGCCACCTGAAGAAGAAATATTCTAGTCACAGTTGTACCCATAAATGGTGGGTCTGTAGCTCTTCCCTTTGTGCATATACATTCAGTGTAAATGATGCTGAAGAAAGCAACAGCTTTAAATTATTCCCAGTAATCAACATTATCTGTAAGGACTTGTACCTTTTTTCTTTTTGATGACAATGTTCATTTGCTCTGTTGTCTGGCTGGGAAACAAAGCCCAGCATCTGCCATTTATCACAGCTTCAACTTGTGAGCTAAGGAAAAACCAGGAGAAACTCTCAAGCTTCTTCCTTAGCAAGTAAGTGTCTTCAGGTATGTATCCAAGCACACAAACTTTCAGATTTGCCAAGGAAATGAAAAAATATCCACCTTGCACCTGCTGTTTACTCCATGAGAGCTGCAACTCACTTTGCATTTAAACTCCCGTGTGCTGCTGCTCTCAAGTGCTTTGAGGTCTTCTGACTTACAGAAGGAAATCAGAGAGACTAATTTTGACAAAATCTTTCACCTTAGTTTTAAAATGCTTCTGGTAATGACTGTGATGTGAAATCATCAGACACACCAGCAACCTTCTCATCTTGGCTGGTCTGTGTTGTGTGAACCAAGACCAACCAAGTGTCCAGCAGTGCCTGTGCCAGGAGCACCTGTCGTGGCAGCTGCCCATTCTGGAGAGAAGAGCTTGGCTTAGGACTGGCACCTTGATGAGTAGCTGGCCAAGGGCA